CAGGTTCTCACGGGCCGGTTCATGTACGGGCCCCTGGACATGGTCACTCTGACGGGGGAGAAGGTGAGGACCTGGGGAGGTTGCAGAAGCCCCTGCCTGGCCTCCCACTGGCTGGGGAGTGCAGGCTCGGGAGGCCAGGGGCCCGCCCCTTCCTGACCAGCCCGCCTGGCTCCCAGGTGGACGTGCACATCATGACGCAGCCGCCCTCGGGCGAGTGGCTATACCTGGACACTCTGGTGACGAACAGCAGCGGGCGGGTGTCCTACACCATCCCCGAGTCCCACCGCCTGGGTGTGGGCGTCTACCCCATCAAGATGGTGGTCAGGTGAGCGCCTCCGGGGAGGGAGCGGGCCGGGCCAGGCCGGCCACCTCTGGGGCGGGAAGGAGGAGGTCTGGTAGGTTCTAACATGCTCCCCTTTCCAGGGGAGACCACACGTTTGCGGACAGCTACATCACCGTGCTGCCCAAGGGCACGGAGTTCGTGGTCTTCAGTATCGACGGCTCCTTTGCTGCCAGTGTGTCCATCATGGGCAGCGACCCCAAAGTGCGGGCCGGGGCCGTGGACGTGGTGCGGTGAGTGACCCCGAAGGGCACGCTGGGCGGGCGTGGGGGCGGGAAGCTCCTGGAGGCCAAGCTGGGGATGGCTTTGGGACACTAGGCAGAGGCCCATGGAGTCAGCACTGCCACTAACTCACGGTATGACCCCTTGATGCGGATGCCCCAGCTCCTCACCCAAGCAGTGAGGCTCCTGAGGAGGCCTGTTACAGCTGCTGCAGAGGGCACCCACGGGGACAGGGCGGCCTGGCTGGCTGTCCTCGCAGTGGCTGCTGCTTCTGCTGAACCCAATCAGAGACGCGCTCTCTGACGGCCCAAATAGAAAGTGGCGGGGCTGGACGACGGGTGGCCCAGGAGAGAGGCCGGGGCGGCAGCGGGACACCCAGGCCTCCCCCCTCACCCCCAGGCACTGGCAGGACCTGGGCTACCTCATCATCTATGTGACGGGCCGGCCTGACATGCAGAAGCAGCGGGTGGTGGCGTGGCTGGCCCAACACAACTTCCCCCATGGCGTGGTGTCCTTCTGCGACGGTCTGGTGCATGACCCACTGCGGCACAAGGCCAACTTCCTGAAGCTGCTTATCTCCGAGGTGGGTCCCCGGCGGGAGGGGGCGGGGGCGCGGAGGGGTGGGGTGCGGCGGGGGTGGGAGGGCCGTGCCCGTGCCCACGCCAGTCTCCCCCACAGCTGCACCTGCGCGTGCACGCAGCCTACGGCTCCACCAAGGACGTGGCGGTCTACAGCTCCATCAGCCTGTCCCCCATGCAGATCTACATCGTGGGCCGGCCCACCAAGAAGCTGCAGCAGCAGTGCCAGGTGAGCGGGCCGGGCGGGCCGGGCGGGCCGGGCGGCAGGTGGCCCTGAGAGCCCCGGCTGTGACCGCCCCCTCCCTCCCTGCCTTGCCTCGCAGTTCATCACGGACGGCTACGCGGCTCACCTGGCCCAGCTCAAGTACAACCACCGGGCGCGGCCGGCCCGCAACGCCGCCACCCGCATGGCGCTGCGGAAGGGCAGCTTTGGCCTGCCGGGCCAGGGCGACTTCCTGCGCTCCCGGAACCACCTGCTCCGCACCATCTCGGCTCAGCCCAGCGGGCCCGGCCACCGGCACGATCGGACGCAGAGCCAGGCGGACGGCGAGCAGCGGGGCCAGCGCAGCATGAGCGTGGCGGCAGGCTGCTGGGGCCGCACCATGGCCGGCCGGCCGGAGCCCGGGGCTGCCGCGGGCCCCAAGTAGGACCCCGTGGGTGAGGCGCTGTGGTCTCCATGGTGCTAGGCCAGGGCGGCCAGCCCCGCCAGGAGGCCTGATGGGCACACAGAGTCGGCTGGAGACAAGCTTGTCCCAGGGCCTGGCGGAGGACATAGGCCGTGCCACACAGCCCTCAAGCCCTGCCTCATGTCCTCGGGTCTGAGGGGTTCCAGCCTGCAGGAAGACCTGTCCCAGGATGACAGAGGGACCAGGACTCCCCACACGGACTGGCCCGGAAGACACTCCTAGACACTCGTCCTGCATTGACCTCCCAGCATCCCGACGCCAGGCCTGGGCCCGGGCCCAGCCCGCCACCTCCCATCCACTAGCTCACCCTGACACCCAGGTCCCCTCCCACTCGGTCACAGCTCCAGCGGGGGACAGGCTGCTTCTTGTTAACTTGAGTTACTCAACTGTTCAACCTCACTGGTTTTGCACTGATTTTTGGGAGTGGAGACCCGCTCCCATCTCCTGTGGCTACAGACATGCATGAAAAGCCAACCTTCGCCAGTCTGGGACCTGCTGCCACACAGAAGGCTCCAGGGCGGCAAACGCTTGTGCAAGCAGGAGAGAAAGGCCATGTCTTCATTTCTGCAGCTCCGCCTGGCCCGCCAGCGCTGTGGCAGCCCCCGACCCCCGCTACCTGTCCACCTGCCCCACCTGGAACCCAGTGCGGCGGCGAGGCTGCTGAGGCCCAGAGCCGGCTCCCCGGAAGCCACGCCTTGGGCTCCTGGGCCCGGCCGGACCAGCCTCCTCTTCCACACCTCGCCTGCCGTCGGTCAAGGCCACGGCCTTGCTCTCCTGCGTTTCTACACCTTTCTACTTCTCCAATCTGATTTCTATGAGGTTTTTTTAAACGAGCAATCCTTGGCTGCTTCCTTTTCTTAACTCTTTCAGTACCAAACGCAGCCCCTCCACGTGAGAACACCCAGCACTGTGACGGAGTCCAGCCTGGTTCTGGGTCCCGGGGCCCTGGCCCCCTGCCCACACAGCGGGGCGTGGGGTCCCCGCCTCACCCAACCCCCATTAATTCCACTGAATTTCTACTCTGGGGTGAGTGGGGCAACACTTAGGTTTTTTTAATGCCAATTCCGTTTTGATGCCGAATTTAAGAAGCCACAACTTGCTTCGTTAGCTTAAGGGCAGGCAGCCACGACGCCATTCCCCACCTGGTAAGGACCGCGCTGTCCTGCAGGCCCGGCCGAGCATCAGCCCTTCCTCCCCAGAAGCGACCGTGATCTCCGCCGTGGCGCTCGGCCCCGGGCGGCCCTTCTGCGGCTCCTCCACCTTCTCCGTAAGGCGCGGGGGGCCTAGCCAGGCCCCGACTGAGAAGCTGCTGCCAACCTGGACACGGCCTCGGCCTCACGGGCTGGGGCGGGGAGGCCCACGGATGGATGTTGACATTCTCCCGTGTGTAGATATGTACAGCCAAAGGGTCATGTAGATGTTCCGCGAAAGTGGGTCTACACAGAGTGAAAGCTATTTATTTTGTGCTGAGAGAAACTTCCGGAGGGTTAGGACCTTCAGGGTTTGTTCATATTTAAGATGTAGCTTTTTGTTTTTGTTCCAGGCGTTATGTATAAAGCGACGGTTATTTTATGGACCAAGTTTTAATGTAAGTGTTGCCATGGAAGTACAATACCTGACCCCCGTGCCCCCGGCGGGAAACCGCTCGGCCCGACAATCACAGCCCGGCGAGGGGCCCCTGCGGCCAGTGCCTCCTCCTCTGTCGGTCCCACCTCGCCCCATCTTGCCTACCGCCTCGGGGACCAGCCATCCGGAGAAGCACCTGGAAGAGTCTCGGGCCCGCCTGCAATAAAGGCTGGGAGGCCTCCTGGCCCGGGGAGGCCGCAAGGGCAGTGGGCTCGGCCTCTCCCAGCTGGCAGCTGCCCCAAGCTCCGCGCGCTCCACCCGCCTGCCCAGCTGCCCGCCATGCCAAGGACAACAGCAATAGTCCCCTGGGCCTCTCCCAGCGGCTCTCAGCCATAGATGGTGAGATGGGCAGCCCACCCTCCCCACTGACGTCTCTCTTCTATATCCAGGTCTGCTTCCTGCCTCCCTTAAGATTCCTTTTGGCACATTCTCTTCTTAGGGAAGCACCAGTTTTTCAGAAACTAAGAGAGGGAGGGCAGAGTCCTTTAAAAATACCAAAAATGTTTACAGTGTTGGGTGCTGAGCCGCAGGGCTCAGGCCTGACCAGTCGTAACCAAAGGGTGAGGCAGGCCTTGCTGACTGCCACCCCCACCCCAGGCCTGTTGGAGGAGAAGCCTTAGTCCCACTCCCAACCCCAGCCCCAGGACTGAGCCTCAGCCCACCACCCCACATCCAAGCACCTGCCTTCTCTTTGATTTCTAAAGACGGATTCAGCAGAGACCCCACGCCCAAGTTTCCCAGCTCCGTCTGAGCTGCCCACCCACCCACCCCGTCGCCGTCGTCACGTCTCGGCCCCCTCCTGTCTCTGTCTGGGCCACGTGTGAGCAGCGTCCTGACTCGCCCCATCCGCCCTTGCTACCCCTGCACCTTCGGGCCTCAGTGTGCTCTGTATAGTGTCATTGTCTGTTACACCGATTAAAGAAGCAGGAAGGCTTCCTTCTGGGTCTCTTTACTGCACCAGCAAACACAGAACACCGGCTGGGGATGAGGGTCCAACACGGGGGCACAGCCTGTGCTGCAGCTAAAGCTGCGGCAGCAAGAGTACGTCTTTCCCAGTAAACAACACCCACTACACTTGCCTTCATACAGACACGCTCACACAAGCCTTCCCCTGACCTGGGTCTCCTTCCAGCCCCTTCCTAGACACAAACTCCCGTTCATCCTCACAGCGACCCAGTGAGGTGGGTGCGGAAAGCCTCTCTGCTTCACAGAGGCCGCAGCTTGTCACCTGGGCCAGGAGCCCCGCCCCGGCCGCCTGGCCCCAGCACCAGCACCCTGAACAGGCTGCATCTGCAGGATAAAGGGCACAGGACGCAGTGTGCCCCCCAGTCTGAGGGCATCGGGCTCAAGAGCCAAGTCTGGGTTTAGGATGCAGCTGGGGTGAGTGCAGCGTCTGGTCGAGGCAGGCTGATCCGGGGACGAGCAAGGCAAAGGTGGTCGGCGCAAGGGCACATCCCGCCTTTGCCCAAAAAACCCTGGAGCCCTTGTTTTACTTCTGGAGGTTGGGTGGCAACCGTCCCTCCCTTCAGCACAAAAACCAACATTAACAAAGTTTCCAACCAGGGAACATTTAATATTTGGGAAGTTATGCTCTTTCGGGAGATGGGGGAACTGATTAGGCCAGTGACCCTGTCCTCTGTCCCCTGGATCTGAGAGGAGGCCGGGCCAGAGGCCAGTCCACAGGAGGAAAGCCAAACACCCTGGTGCCCGCTCTGAAGCCAGCCTCCAGGCCAGGCTACCAAAATGAGCCAGCAGGGCCCTCAGGGTAGCAGCCCAGCTCGCATCTGGAAGGCCAGGCCGTCCCCTCGGGTGGCTTGCTAGAGAAGGAAGCGCACAGAAGGGGACACATCAGAAACAGAGCTGGGCGTGGAGCCCGGGGAAAGGGGCGACACCAACCTTGCTGATCTCTCTGTGTTGTTCCTTCGTCACGATTTCCTCTAAGACCTCACCGTCTCCCTTAATGAGCCTGGGGGAGGAGGGAGGAGGGCTGAGCCTCCAAGGCCAGAGCAACAGTACCAGGCCCACCTGGCAAAGAGATGCCAGGCCTCGGGCCCCACTCCCTTGAACAGGGGGGACCTAGGCGCTCCCACTCCTGCCCCTCTCCCGCCCTTGGGACAGTGACAAAGGCAGCTGGGTAGGCTCTGCCATCAGACCGGCCAACTGGCTCTTTGAAGACACCGCTCAAGGCCCTGGCAACCCCCGCAACTGCTTGCTCTGGACGATAAAGAACAGCCTCGGGAGTCCCATAACGAGTAACTACTCTTCTCCGGTCTCTGGCTTTTGAGCACAGCAGCCATGGGCCCTCCTCCTGAGCGTGCGGAGCGTGTGGGGCTGAGCTGCGCCAAGACTCCCCACCTGGTGCGTCCTGTCTCCGGGTCCACCACCTTCCGGATGATGCTCTGCCGGGCATCCCACTCCTCCTTGGTCATGGGCTTCATGGCCTGGATGCGGGACTTCTGTTCATCCGTCAGGACTGCAAGGGGAGATGGCAGGGAGTGGGCGGTTGGGTCTCAGGGAGGGGCCCTTCCCCTCCTGCACGCCGGACAGCAGCGTACCTGGGCCATCCTCTTCCTCCTCAGCAGATCTGTGCCACTGGTCCAGCGAGGGTCCCGGCAGAGCCTCGCCCTGCTGCAGCTTTGCCTTCTCCTTGCTTTTCTTCTTCAGCTTCTTCTTCCTTTTCTTCTTCTTCTTCTTCCTCTTCTTGTCCTTGTGCTTCCCCCGCTTCTTCCGGCCATCACTGGAGGAAGAGGAGGAGGACGAAGAGGAAGAAGAGCTAGAAGAACCGGAAGAAGAGGAGGAGGAGCTGGACCGTGGTCTCCTCCGGGCCTTGTGCTTGCTTCTCTCTGTGATGCAGGGAGAAGGTCAGGCTGGAAGGCCAGGAGGGGAAGGAGTAAACCTTTATCCCCTTGCTCTGGCCTGTGGCAGGCTTAGAGGGACGACGGAGGGGTGAGACCCTCCAGGCAGGGCCTTCCAGAGCAGGATCAGCACTCTCTGGAGAGGCGCCTTCTGGGCTTCACCCAGCCACCCAGTCACTGTCTGACCAGGAGCAGGGCAGCCAGCCCCCAGATCTCAGCTCCAGCTGCACAAAAAGCATCAGTACGTGCTCCCTTCAATCCATACCCAATGAGCCGGACCAGCCTCTGGAATCTGAGCGTCTTTCCCAGACATCCAGGTCCTGCGCTCACTGCGATGTCCCCACAGCCATCCCGAGAAGCCCGCCCAGCTGCCTGCAGCTTCCTCCCTAAAGTTCCCACACCCCTTTCCCGTTCCCTCCGGTCCTCACCCTCCGCCCCAGAGGAGGTGTTGCTGGCCTTGTGGTCTTGGGATCCAGAAGCCGAGCGGCTCCGAGCAGCGTCCTTACTGCTCTTCTTCCTTCTCTTTTCGGACCCGCGGCCCCGGGACCGGCTTCGGCTCTTGGAGCGCTTGCGAGAGCTGACGTGAGCCATAGCGCCGCGGGCTGGAGACGGGGAGACACGCTGGAACTGGGGCTCACACAGCCGGCCCCCAGACTGGGCTCGGAGGGCGGCTCTTCTCAGGGGCCCAGTGCCCATCACCACCCAGGGCAGGGACCGAGGGGGTCCGCGGCCACCGCACTATCCGCCCCCAGCCCCGGGGACCCCAGACCCTGCGCAGACACCCGGGGCCTCGGCCCCTTTAAGGGCCCGCCCCCGCCCGACCGCTCCACGCCTGCGCACGGCCTCCCCACGCCTGGACGCTCGGGCGCCCCTAGGAGCCGCCGCGGTCCTCAGCCGCCAGGTGCGTCGCAAATGCTTCCCTGCGCTCCTACCCTCCACCCCCGCGCCCTCCGCGGCCTCGCCGCCCTAGGGAAGGTCCCCGCAGCTGCTCTGTCCCCTCCTCAACCGCCCATCTGGCGGGACCGTCGGGCCCTCACCACGCCTTCGCGTGAGGAAGCGGCGGCGAGGGGACTTCCGGCCGGGGCAGTGCTCGGAGAGGCCGTCCGGCTGGGAAGCGAGGCGCTGCCGCCTTTAGTCCTGAGGCCCCGGGTTCCGTTTCCAGGGCAGCCCAAGAAACGGAGGCTGGCTCTCCGACCTCCCGAAGAGGGCAGCTGGGGATCCCGGCTTCCGCCCCAGGCGCGCGCGAGGCCGTGCATACTCCCCGGCCTCTGCCGCCGCCCTGTCCCGGTCTCCGCCGGCCCTTCCTCGCGGCCGCAGCACCTGGGGTGCCTCCCCACCTGTCCACCCCAGCAGGCTGTGAGACCCCTGGTCCTTGCCGCGTTCCCACCTAGTGACAGCGCCAGGGCGGGACCGCTGTGGCCCGTGTCCGGAGTGGGCAGCTGACGCTCTGCTGCCGATTTTGCCCGTGTGGAACGGGGCCCGGTGTTCCAGCTCCTCCCACCTTCCCAGGAAAGCCAGAGCTCTGGATTTTGAAACGGAAACCCCTGGTTTTGCAAACGTACAACCTGAACCCCGCACAGCTGCACTCTTCACCCAGTTTGGGGGCTGCCCAGTTGCAAATGTCTCGAGTAATGACAGCAGACACAGAGGATTATTACCAAGTACTTTATGAACGTTAACTCATTTGACTCTCAAAACAGCTTTAGGCGATGGATTCTTTCCAGGGGAGGAAACAAGCACAAAGAGGCTACGGAAGCGGCAGAATCAGAATTTGAGCCCAGGCAGTCTGGCTCGAGCACCTGCTCGTAACACCCCTCTGTGCTAAGCCCTCAGCACCAGCTAGAAGTTGCTGTTGGTGATTCTCCCAAATCTCCCTCAGAGACAGATGTGCTCCACCCTGCTGTGGCGACTGCTGATTCACTCTGTGCTCTTCTCCGGGAGGTTCCCTTGGCCACTGGGAGCCACCCTGCCTTGGAGATGGATGCCACTTCCCCACCCGCCCAGCCCACCCCCACCCTAACTGATGCAGGCCGCCGGCTAGAGTCGGGCTCCAGAGCACTCCGTGGGATTGGGCCGAGGCTGGATGCCCTTCGAAACCACATCCTGGCCCAGCTCCTTCCTGCCCTGTCCTTCCCTCACGCCCTTCTCCTGGAGGTACTCCTTCAACAAACCACCTGCCCAGGAATCCCCATCTCAGTTTCTGGCTCTGACAGACCTGACCCAAGCCAGGCTGTCTGCTGAAAGAATGACGCAGAAGCTTGTTGTCCTTTCGAACCAAGAAGGGCCTGGGGGAGGCAGGGAGTTTATTCTTGTCCCGCCCAACCCAAGGAGGCAGAGCCCTCGCTGGCCGTGCTACCCCACCGCAGCCCCGCTCAAGTCAGCGCGCACACATCCACGGTGGTGGGCTCCTCGCGGGTGAAGCCGTCGCCGAAGCCCTCGTCGTCCACCAGGTCGGGTTTGCGGCAGCACATGGGGCACAGGCGGTTGCGCACAGCAGAGGCCCGGAGCCAGACGACAAGGTTCCAGCGCTCGCCTGTGCCCAGTGGCCGGGCCCCATGCAGCTGGCCGCCCCGGTGCAGGATGCCCTGGCCCACCGTGTGCTCCACCTCCAGGGGTCTGGTCAGGGCTGACGGTGCCTGCAGAAAGCAGGGCTCAGGCCTGGGCACTTCTGGCTGCCCCAGGCCCGGCCCCATGGGTCGTACACACTCACCTGGAAGAGGCCCCCAAAGTACAAGGCGCCCCCAGTGAAGGCCTTGCCAAGGGCCACGTTGAGGGTGAGCTCGGCGTTATCATAGTGGCAACCGAGCTCCCGGTCCTGGCCCGGGGCGTATTTGACCACGAAGGCCCGGTGGCTGTCGAGCCAGCCCCCGCCACATTCTGGGTACAGCAGGGCCATCAGCGGCTGCAGGAAGCGCTCCCGCAGTGGCGTCACCAGCGGCTCATCCAGGCCCAGCTCATGCAGCAGCACCTGGGAGGGGGACCCCTCGGGTCAGCAGGGAAAGGGACGGGGCCTCACCTGGGGTCCCTGGGGGTGTCTTTTACCAAGGACAGTGTTATCTGCAGATACCAACTCCATAATAACCCTACCATGATCTCATTTTACAGACGGGGAGACCAAGACCCTAACAGGGCTCAACAGCTCTTCTCCAGCACCGCAGATACGGCCCCCCAGCGCCCGCTGTCCCTGCCTCACCCACCCCATAATTGTTCATGGTGTTGGGTCTTCCCTTGGGCATGTCTGACTGCTCGAAGTGCTCCAGCTCCTCCAGCAGGGCCTGGCAGAACGCTGCTGTGAACACCGGCACCCGGTAGATACGCTTCTCCCCTGCGAAAGGAGGGACACGGTTGGCTGGGAGCTCCAGTGTGGGTCTGTGTCCTCTGGAGCTGTGTGAGCCTGTGCATGCCTGGTCACCTCCCTCGGCCTCAGTTTCCTCACCTGTACAATGGGGAGGACACGGGTACTCACCTCTCAGGGCTGTTGTGACCACTACGGACATACTGTGTGGGTGGCAGGGAGGCCTCTTCCTGGGCCCCTTCATTGGTCCCTGGAGCCTCTCCTCCTGCTTCCACAGACACCGACACATCTAGCCTCTAGACTCTGATGTGCGTTCTGATGAGGCCCAGAGATGGGAAGGGATTAGCCCAGTGACCCCCAGCGGGCCAGTGATGGAGCCAAGCGGGGATCACAGAGCCGCCTCAGGCTTTCTCTGGCCACCAACATTTGCACCCCAACTGAAGTACCTTTGGAGCCTCTGTTCCCCACACAGGAGGGGTGAGGGGGCCTGCTTCTTGCTGGGCCCTGTTATGGAGAGGCCAAGCAGAGAACAGAAATACAAATATTTCTGGGCAGATGGACCAGTGCCCTGGGGTGCCGTGTTCGTATGGCCCCCATTTTCAGCCAGCTCACAGCCCAGCCCCCCGCCCCAGACAACCTGCTCAGTCTTCACTGTCGGGGAGTCAATGGCAATGAGGAGGGGTCCCTCCAGTCTAGGAGGGATGGCTTCGTTCACATTCTAGCCTGTGCCTCACAAGAGAGCACAAGCATCATAAAGGGAGCAACACTGCACACCTGTGTACTGCACTACACTACTGTACAACACTACACCCAGGGTACTGCCAAACCTAGGAATAACAGTAACTGTAAGATAAGGAAACCTTTTCTGAGCACTGTGTCCCCGGGCCGTTCGGCACATTACCTCGCTTAATCACACTTTAGGAGATGGGTATTACTAGCGCTCCCCGTTTCACAGATGAGGACACTGAGGCAGAGGGATTCAAGGAACTTGGAAGGGCTGGCACTTGCTGCTGGGTTTAGCCAGAGAGCCCACCAGGAGATCCAAAGGAGGAGAGATGGGGCATTTTCGAGGTTGGTTTGGCTTTGTGCCTCTGCTCAAGGTCACAGCAGTTACCTGGCCGCCCGTCTCCCACAACTCCAGGTCATGCAGGTTTAAGAAATTTCATTCTCGCCCACTTCTCCAGGTCTAGGGATAGGAACTGTCTGCTTCCCAGACTGCTGTTAGCCCTGGGCTGGGGGGTTTGGGGTGGTGCTTCACTGTCATGCACACCTGTCTTAGTTGTCCCTTTGTGAAGTTCCTCAGTCCCCACCCCTCAAACGAGTATGCCAGCGGACTCACCCCTGACACGGGCACTGAGTATGTGCTGGGCAAGTGAGTAAGTGAATACTGACGCCCGGTCCCTGGCAGGTCAGTCCCACCAGCCCTTCTAGCTCCTGCTGGTTTGGATTTTGGAGGCAGACATGGCGGAGGGACCCCACTGTCCCGCCCCCCAGGCCTACTCCTACTAGGTGATGGGGCCAAGACCTCACCAGACACCGTCTCCAGCCGCTGGAGAAGGCCTTCGAAGTCTGCACCTGGTGACGTGCTGTACTCAGCTGCGGCCAAAAACTCGGGAGCCAGAGCCTCATCCTGGGGGCAGAACGCACTAGTGGTGAGGCAGACGGGCCCCAGGCCGGGACGCCTCCACCTCCTTCCAGTGACCTGGCCCTGCTGGGTACCTGCAGCATGTTGTAGACATCGGGCCTCAGCGGGTGGTAGGATTGCGAAATGAGGGCTTTCCTGGCAGCCGACTCCTGCCCCAGCCGCTGCCGTCGCTCCACCTCCTGCTCAAGCTGGGTGGCATAGGGCCCGGTTACCAAGATGGGGCCTCCCATCACCCCCACCCCAAGGTCACTATGCAGAGGAGGAAACAGGCTCAGGAAGGCCAGAGCAGGGCCTGGGTTGAGACCCAAGTCTGTCTACACACCTGACTCCCTCAGGGTAAACTGCCAGTGCCAAGCTGTTAGCTGAAGGCAGCTCCTTCTGGAAGGGGCCCACCCCGCTCTGGGCTGCACAGTTCAGAGCCTGACTGGGATGGGAACCCCTGGACATGCTCCACCAGCTGGGCTGCCGAGGGAGAGGAATGGAATCCCAGCCGGGTGTTGTGTTCCAGAGGCTGCAGGGGGCCTGCCCAGGAAGCTTCCCCTTACTCACCCCCAGGCGAGGAAGGAGACAAGATGCCAGCAGCTCTGGCACCCACCAAAGTGGGGGTGGGTGAAGAGAGGAAGAGGCCGGAGCCTGGCTGCCCTGGTGGGATCTCAGCTCCTCCTGCTGTGAAACCCTGGGCAAGTGTCTCAAGAGGGTGTGAGGCAGACAACTCGGCATTTTCCACTTTTTTTTCTGGTGCCAAGCCCCAGGCGCTGCAGTGAGGGGGCGTAGGAAGAGGGCAAGCCGAGGTCTAAGGAGTCCTTCAGGGACCTAGGGCTGGGAGGCCCCCTCGAACTGCTGGCCCAGTCTGAAGAGGAAGGGCAAGGCCGGCTGTGGAGGGGCAGAGGCGGGCAGTTACCTCTCCTACGAGCTGCTGGAAGTCCTTGGGGCTGACACACCCGCGGCTGCGCAGGATCTGAGAGCAGAAAGTCCAGTGAGCAAGTCTCCTAATGTCTCTGGGCCTCAGTTTCCCCTCGTGGAGGTGGAGAGGAGAGCCCCGAACCGACGGGGTCATTGTGAGGAGGACAGTCGAGAAGCTCGCTCAACGGAGAGCGGGGCTCCCAGCTGCAGTTAGGAACCGCGCCGAGGGGCTCCCCGCGCCGGCCCCTGCCCGAAGCACTTTACAAGGACGCTCATTCATTCGTTGCTCACGACAGCCTCAGCGGGCGATACTGCTCTCCCCGCTGAAGGGGGAAACCGAGGCACCCAGATCGGAGCACCCGAGCCCAGCGAACGCCTGCCGCCCGCTTCTCCGCAGAGCCAGTGCAGGCCACTCACCGGGCCGTAGTCCCGGCGCAGCTGCTGCTCGCCCCGGAAGCGCACGTGGAGCCCGTAGCGCGCCACGTACAGGTTCTCGGAGCAGAAGCAGGCGCAGCGGCAGAAGCGCCGCGGGGCCCCAGCCGTCGCCATGGCGAAGAGGCGCGCGCCGCCCCGCCGGCTTCCGTAGGAGCACTTCCGGCGCGCCCCCAGCGGGGCGTGGCTTGGCGGGGAGGCGGCGGCAGGGGTGCGTTCCAAGTTCCCAAGTGCAGAAAAGAACGAAGACGCCGCCGCAGAAAACGGGGTGCGGCGGACAGAGATGCTCCCAGGCCGGGGTGCGGCGGACGGGCTCGGCTGCGAGCGCGTGGTCTTCTCGTGCCGCCTCACAGCTTCCCCATGCACAGGGAGGGGACTAGTCTCCCCACTCTACAGATAGTCAAACCGAGTCACACCTCCACGGGCCGGGGGCAAGTTGGGACTTGGAACCCCTCAAGGCCTTTTGTTAAATGCCGCTTCCCTCTTCTGCTCGGAGCTTTGGAAGAGGCAGCCAACGGCGGGGGTGGGGGGTTAGACGATGCCTGGGGTCCGAGCGCTCCGACTTGCCACTAGCCCGTTCTGTGCGTCTGAGCCTGGGTTTAGCAGTCTGCCCGGGCCCCTGTCCGGCACTCCTCGAGCCTTCGCCGCGGTGTCGGGATTCGCCGCCGAGGCCCGGGGCCGCGTCCCCGCGAAGACGTTCCGTCCGGCGTGACTTCCGGTGGCGGGGCCGAAGGGTTGGAGTGTGGGCGGGGATCAGGGTGTGGTCTGTAGGCGGCCACACCCCGCACCGCGCGGTCGGAGTTCTGCACAGCCGCAGTGTGAGATGAGTGTGTTTCTTGTAGAGCGTGCACCCCTAACTCAGGGAGACCCATCGTAGCGCCTACGTCTCTTATCCCGGGGATCCCCACCTTGGTCCGCCGTGCGCCCTGCAAGGCCCGGGTCTGCAAAGCCCTGGGAGGAAGCTTGGACCTCAGCCCTGTTGCTAAGATGGGGAAACTAAGGCTCGTAATAGGGGATGAAGCCCCCTTCCCGATTAGAGTTCCGTCCCTGTTCAGCTTGGTGCGAGGATGGGAGTGGGGAGGAAGACTGCAGCTCTTAGCCCGGGTGCACAGGTGACCACAAATGGTAACTCCTGTTGTCCGATCTCCCACCGTCTCTCCTTGCATCCGTACAGCAAAGCTTTGAGCGAGGTACTGTTACGTCACCCATGTTACAGATGGGCAAACAGAGGCTCAGAGAGGGGCGGCTATGCCCCAGCGTTCACCACAACAGGGTTTCTCAGAATGGTTGGATTATGAGGGATTTCAGATTTCCTCTCTGTGCTTGTTGGGGTTTATTTTCTTGATGCTTTCCTTTCCCCCCGGATGTATGCACAGGTTTACACTCACATCCACAGTGAGACACTTAACACACTCAAACACACCCGTAACGTGCTCACACGCATTCACACACCATCACACGTGTGCTCATGCCATTGACACACTCACACCTAGTCATACACAGCACTTCACATACAGACACAGCCGCACACTCACTCACACACGCAACACTCATGCACACCATCACACACCTATCACCCACACTCACACATCCAGCACAGCCCCTGGTTCCTCCCAGCTCTTTGGCAAATTGGGCCCCGAGGCTAAGGTCCCAGGGCCCCAAAGGGAGATGGGAGACCCTCACATCCTGTGCGACCATGTCAGACCATCCTTTCCAGTTCATGGAGACATCCACGAACATGTCTGGGGGTCCAGATCTCCCGCCAGCACCTTGAGGGGCTGGGAGAAGGCAGAATTCTGCTCTCAGGGCAAAACCTACACCAACAACCTGATTGGTTTTCACCCTGGCTGGTCAGGGCCATCCTGAGTGATGGCGGTGAGCATGTGGAAGTGCGTTTTGAGTGACAGATAAGCTCCCTGCACTTCTAGTGTCAGTCAAGGTGGGGAGACGGGAGTAAGCAAGGAAACAAGTACACGATCAAGTTATTTTCATTCAGTCGTAAGTGCCGGGAAGACAAGCTAGGTGATGGGGTGGTGAATGCCTGGAGGTGGCCGCTTTAGACCAATGGCCAGAGAAAGCCTCCCAAAGAGTGGCATTTCAGCCGGGCTCCAAGGGCTGCAGCAAGATCTGGCAGGAGAGGGTTCTCGGCAGGGGAGTTAAAAGTGCAAAGCCCTGCAGTGGGACGAGCTAGGCGTGCTTGAAGAACAGCAAGGCATACGAGAGGACAAGTCCTAGGGAATGAGGCCAGGGTGGTATTCTGGCCAAACCACTGGGCTTAGGACACCACTGTTAACATTTTGGATTTTACTCTACACATGAAGGGAAGCTGCCCAATCCTCACAACAAACCATAAGGGCAGGAATTATTCCCATTTTGCAGAAGTGGAAAATGAAGGTCAGAGAGGTTGAATAGCCCACCCAAAGTCAGATGCCTCACAAGTAGTAGAGTCTGGAATAGAACAGGAGTCTGAGCCACGGGGATCCTGGGACCCAGCCCAAGCCTCCTAAAGGTACCAGGCTTCCCCAAGGGGGAGCATGACCCTCAGGGGCCGCTTCCTTCTCAAGGACCCAGCTCCCCAGCCCAGAGCTGTGTGGTCTGAGAAGGTGTTTAAACTTTCATGGGTGTCTTGATTGCCCAACGATAGTGAAGGGCCCTGCTCTCCAGGAAGGATCCATTTCCCCAGTTCTGTGTGCATTACCCCCATAACTGCCTTCCTCCCTCAGAGGCCCAGGGCAGGCCTGGCACATGCATCCCCCCAACCCCTGCCAGTGCATACTGTTTCTCCCTTTGCAGTGGTTTGCAAGATAAGCATGTTCTGCTTATCTGTTCACACCGGCTCTCCCAGTGGCCCCCTTCTCCTTGGAATCAGTGTCTCCACCCCTACCCCGCCCCAGTCTGGGTTCAATCACCAAATGGAACAAAAGCAAGAATATTAATAGTAAGTACTGGGTCCGTGTGTTCTCAACAAGCACTGATGTGTTTTTGTTGTGTGTGGGGGGAGGGTATTATAGATTTTTTTGAGATTTTTTTTTAAGTAATCTCTATACTCAATGTGGGACTCGAACTCACAGCCTCGAGATCTAGGAGTTGCATGTTGTACCAACTGAGCCAGCCAGGCGGCGCCCCTGTGTGAGGTAGTATTAAACCTATTTTACAGATGAGGCTCTGTGAAGTATAGGCGCCTGTCTAGGGTCATAAACCTAGTGCGTGGCAGGACCAGAATTACAGCACACACCCTTCTATCTGATTCCAGAGTGTGTTGGTGGGGGAGGGGTATGCATGTATATGTACGTGAATGTATGTGTGTTACATGTGTAACATATGTAACATATGTTACATATGTATCTATACACAGACTTGATTTTATATAGAGCACACTATTAAAAAAGGGCACATCTCAGGAGTACGGCTGGTGAATCTTTACAAACCACACACCCATGTAACCAGCATCCAGATCCCCCAAACAGAACATTCCAGCCCCCACCCTGTCCCTGCTCAGCCACTACCCACCTCCCAAGGCTAATCACTATGGGGACTCCTAAGAGCCAAGATTAGTCTTGCCTGTTGTTGAATTTGATACAGATAAAATTAGATACTATGTATTATTTTGCATGCTGCTTCTTTCACTCAGCATTCTATTGGTGAGATTCATGGCTGTTGTCCTGTGTAGTGGCAGCTCTGTGCTTTTTCGTGGCAGCCTACTGTTCCACCGGATGACCACTCCATCCCCTGAGCCATTCTGCCGATGAAGGCCACTTGTATCGTTTCCAGTTTGGAGATGTGATGAATGAGGCTGCTAGGAACACTGTAATTTATTTACTGCAGTAAAATACACATAACATAAAACCATTTTAACCATTTTAAAAACAGCCTTAACTTTTTTTTTAAGATTTTATTTATTTATTTGACACAGAGAGAGAGATCACAAGTAGGCATAGGCAAAGAGGCAGGCAGAGAGAGAGGGAGAAACAGGCTCCCTGCTGAACACAGAGCCCGATCCGGAGTTCGATCCCAGGACCCTGAGATCATGACCTGAGCCGAAGGCAGAGGCTTAACCCAGTGAGCCACCCAGGTGCCCCCAGACTTAATTTTTTAAAAGATTTTATTTATTTGGGGGCACCTGGGTGGCTCAGTCATCGGGTGTCTACCTTCACCTCGGGTCATGGTCCCAGTGTCCTGGGATCGAGTCCCATATCAGCTCCCTGCTCAGCAAGGAGCCTGCTTCTCCCTCTCCAACTCCCCTGCTTGTGTACCCTCTCTCACTCTCTCTGTCATAAATAAATAAAATCTTTTTTAAAAATTTTATTGGGGTGCGTGGGTGGTGAGCCAGTGGGTTAAAGCCTCTGCCTTCAGCTCAGGTCATGATCCTAGGGTCCCAGGATCGAGCCCTGCATCAGGCTCTCTGCTCAGCAGGGAACCTGCTTCCTACTGCCCTCCCCCCGCCTGCCTCTCTGCCCACTTGTGATCTCTGTCTGTCAAATAAATATAAATAATCTTTTTTTAAAAAGACTTTATTTATTTGATAGGGAGAGAGAGGGCACAAGCAGGGGGAGCAGCAGGCAGAGGGAGCAGCAGAAGCAGGCTTCCCCACTGAGCAAGGAGCCTAATGGGGGGCTCAATCCCAGGACCCTGGGATCATGACCTGAGCCGAAGGCAGATGCCTAACTGAGCCACCCAGGTGCCCCTAGACTTTACTGTTTAGAGCAGTTTAAGGTTCACAGCAAAATTGAGTGGAAAGTACAGAGATTGATCATACGCCTCACCCCCACCCCCACTGTCAATATCCCTTCCCAGAGTGGTACATCTGTTACAACCCATTCCTTCACATCACACATTATTGCCCAGTGTACACTAGGCTTCACTCTTGGAGTCGTATATTCTGTGGTTTTTTACAACGTAGAATGACATACCTCTACCATTATGGTCTCATACAGAATAGTTTCACTGCCCTCCAAATCCTCTGCGCCCTCTCTGTTCATCCCTCCCCCACCCCTACCCCCGGCAACCACGGATCCTTTTACCACCTTCATGGTTTTGTCTTTTCCAGATGTCATATAATCAGAATCATCCCCTCGCCTTTTCAGATTGGCTTTTTTCACTTAGTAATTGACATTTATGTTTCCTCCATGTCTTTCAGTGGCTTGATCACTGAATAATAGTATATTGTCTGGATGGACCACATATAAGTAAGTGGCACTTACCACTAAGTGAAATGATTTTATGTATTTACCTGTTGGTTTCCTGTCTCCCCTACTCTGCAAAGGATGGGGTTTTTCTTTTTTTTTTTTTTTTAAGATTTTATTTATTTATTTGACAGAGATCAACGACAGTGGATCCATCCACCTACTAAAGGGCATCTTGCCTGCTTCCAAGTTCCAGCAATTATGAATAAAGTTTCGATAAACATCTGCTTGCAGGCTTTTACATGGACATCAGTTTTCAGCTCATTTGGGTAAATAACCTAGGAATGTGATTGCTGAATCATACAGTAAAAGTATGTTTAGTTTTATAAGAAGCCACCAAATCCTTCAAAAGTAACTGTACTATTTGCATTCCTACCAGCAGTGCGTGCGAGTTCCTGTTGCTCCACGTCTTCCCCAGCATTTGGTGCTGTCGGTGTTTTGGATCTTAGCAATTCTATGAGGTCGGTAATGGTATCACGTTGTTTTCATTTGTGATTTCCTAATAACATGACGTGGAACATCATTTCATATGTTTATTCATCACCTGTATATCTCATTTGGTGAGGTGTCTGTTCAGGTCTTTGCCTCTTTTTAAAATTGGGCTGGTTTTGTTGTTGTTGTTGTTGTTGTTGTTTATTGTTGAGTTTTGTATATTTTGGATAACAGACTTTATGAGATACAGGTTTTTGTGGATATTTTCACCCAGTCTGTGGTTTGTTGTCTCATTCTCCTGACCATATATTTGCAGGGCAGTTTTTTTTTTAAGATTTTATTTATTTATTTGACAGAGAGAGATCACAAATAGGCAGAGAGGCAGGCAGAGGGGTGTGGGGGGAGGAAGCAGGCTCCCTCCTGAGCAGAGAGCCCGATGTAGGACTCGATCCCAGGACCCTGAGATCACGACCTGAGCCGAAGGCAGGGGCTTAATCCACTGAGCCACCCAGGCGTCCCTGCAGAGCAGTTTTTAATTGTCATGAAGTTCAGCTTATCAATTCTTTCATGAATCATGCCTTTGATGTTGCACGCAAAATTGATTCATACAGGGCGCCTGGGTGGCTCAGTGGGTTAAAGCCTCTGCCTTCGCTCGGGTCATGATCTCAGTCAGGGTCCTGGATGGAGCCCTGTGTCTTCCTGCTTGCCTGCTTCCCCCCCCCCTCTCTCTGCCTACTTGTGATCTGTCTCTCTGTCAAATAAATAAATAAAATCTTTTTAAAAAAATCGTCTTCATAGCCAAGAAAAATCCAGATTTTTTTCCCTATCCTCTTAGAGTTTTATAGTTTTGCATTTTATATTTAGGTCTGTGGTCCATTTTGTGTTAATTTTTGTGAAAGGTGTGAGGTCTGAGTCTAGATTTTTTTTTAACATATGGATGTCCAGTTTTTCCAATACCATTTGTTGAAAAGATTGTGTTTGTTCCTTTGTACTGCCTTTGCTCCTCTGTCAGAGATCAGTTGACTGATTTACATGGGTCTATTTCTGGACTCTCTATACTGTTCCATTGACCTGTGTGTCTATTCTTTCATCAAAACCACACTGACTTGATCTCTGTAGCTTCATAGTAAGTCTGGAAGTCAGGCAGCGTCAGTCCTCCAACATTGTTTTCCTCCTTCAATACTGTGACAGCTGTTTTCACTCAGCAAAGATGATGGAACCTGGATCTGGACCGAGCTCTGAGGCACTCTGACGTTTGGATAGCCCATCCAGGATACTTTCTTCACGTGCAATCATATATTTGCTTTTTGTGTTTGCATGAACGTTAGCCTGCTCCAACTTTATTCTGTCCCTTGGTTTTACCCAATCCATTTAGGAGGTCATTCCGTACCTATACATAGCTTCTGTATGCAGATACATACAAATATACGTTGCTTTATTCCCTGCCACACTTTTCCGTTGAGCCCCGCTCTGTAATGATTTGGCCAGTTCCCTATGGAAGGATATTAAGGGTATTTTCAGAGTTTTGCTACTACAGTAACTATCTGCAAACTAGGATCTTTGCTCCCCTCGACCAGTCTTATCTATAGAAGAAAATCCTACTGGGTCAAAAAAAAATGCTTTTTAAAATCTGAACTTTGCCAAATTCTCCTTGAAGGAGGCTGTCAGTGTGAGTGGCAGAGGCTATTTTAAATTCGGAGTGCTTTAAGCCTTTGACTGAAGGATGGAGATGTGAGGGGATATGTTGCCCCACCTGCCACCCCCTCTGGGCCTTGACCTACTTTCCCAGGTTCTTGGTTCAGGCCGCACTGTTTGCCCAGAAGCCTGGTCACCTTGCACCTTTCCCAGAGAGCCCTTCCCAGCTTGAGTGGCCCTATGTCACTTTCCGTGGCCGCACCCAGTTTTATTCCTTTATGGCACTTACCACTAAATGAAATGATCTTACGTACTTACCTGTTGGTTTCCTGTCGCCCCTACTCTGCAAAGGATGGGGTTTTTCCTTTTTTCTTTTTTTAAAGATTTTATTTACTTATTTGACAGAGAGAGAGACAGGGAGGGAGGGAGGAAACACAAGCAGGCTTCCCCGTGAGCAGGGAGCCCGACACAGGGCTTGATCCCAGGACCCTGGGACCACAACCTGAGCAGAAGGCAGACACCCAGGCGCCCCTGGGGGTCTTCCTTTTTTCACACTCAGCTGTATTCCTAGCACGCTGCCCCTAGCAGTCCCTCAGTGGGTATTGCTGCTTCCCCTCTCTCAATCCCTACAATCCTGCTCTACTTTTCTCTCTAAAATGTCTTCCCTTCCAACCAGATGTAACCGATTTATGTATGGTGGGTTTTGCCTGCCTCCCTCACTAGAGTGCCGGCTCCAGCAGGGCCCGGATTCTATTTGCACACTGTTGCATCTCAACAGATTAGAATGACACATGGCACATAGTAGGTGCTGCACAAATATTTGTTGGAAGAAAGAAAAGAGAGAACGACAAAGAGGAAGAAAGGGGGAAAATGAAGGAAGGAAAAAAGCAAAAGATCGTAACTCCCACGTGGGCTGGCAGGTTGTCCCTCCGGAGGAAAAGACCCAGTAAAGAGCTAGCGCCCCCACCAGGTTGGGCCTGGGGCCTCCAGACCTGGAGCACAGAGCTGGAGGGCCCCGCTAGGCGGGAGGAGGCGGGGCCCGTCTCAGGTGGTGGGGGTGGGGGGGGAGGGCTAGCTCTGGCCACGCCCCCAGATGCCCCGCCCCGTCCTGGAGCCCCGCCCCACCCGTCAGCTGGCCCGGGCGCCCGCCCCGCTCCGCTCCGACCTTGCCGCGGCGCAGCCCTGGTGGGAGGAGGGGAGGAGCGGCGGGAGGAGCGGCGGGAGGAGCGGAGCGAGTGCAGTGCCGGGCGCAGTCTCCAATGAGCCGCGCGGAACCTGCGCCCCTGACGACCCGAGCCCCCTGCGCCCTTTCCCTACGGCTCACCTGGTGCCAGGTAAGGTAACAGGTAAGAGCGCGGCGCCCGGGTCCCCCGAACACGTCGTACTCAGGCCGAGGTGCCAAGCCGGACACAGGCTGGGGGCGTCTGGGGCCCCCTGCCTCCGAGGTGGAGTAGGCAGCACCGTTGGAGGTGGCAGCCTTCCGGGAGCCTTCTCGCCCCCGCTCCTGTCCCCAGGCGTCCTCAGCTGCAGGTCCCAGCCCCCCATCCCTGCAGCAGCATCCTTTCCACGCCCGCAGGACGAATGTTGCTTGCTTTTTTTTTTTTTTAACTCCTCACGCGCTGCTGCCTCTTGGAAAATTGTGGGGGTGGCTTTTGGGGAGGATCCTGCGATGGCTGTTCTCCCCCCAGGATCGGAATGGTGCGACTTCCCGTGGCTCTCCACGTTCTACAGCGGGCGCCTGCCCACGGGTCCTGAGCACCCTGGCTGTGGCAGAAGCCTAGGGGGCCCGACCTGGGCCTGCCTTACCCCTCAGTTTCCCCCGCTGGTCAATGTTCTGACGTTCCACACGCATTCACCCTGGCAGTAGGCCTGTGGGTTCCCAGGGGCTCCTCCCTTATTTCTGGATCTGTGTTAAAACAGGATGGCTCCTTCCCCCACCTGATGTCATTAAAAACAGCTTTAAGCTGAAGCTGGTCTGTCAGGATTCACTGTCCTGCCCTCTGCCCCACCCCCTGGAGACAGGCTGGCCTCCATCCCTGCCTCAGAGGGCAGGTGGCAGGTGACCAGAAGAGGGTTATAGAAAGGCCACCGTAGCTCCCCAGCCACGAGTTACCTGAAACAACTTTCCCAAGTCTCTGAGAGAGGGCAAGTCCCAGTATGAGATGCGGTGGGCTGAGCAAGGCTGGAGTCAGGATGGCACAAAGTGGACCCAGCCCCATCCTGGCACTGCATCCGGAACACCCCCCGCCCCGTGACACAGCCCTCCGTTAGCCAGGGTGCTGAGCAGTGAATGGGCCTTTCCGCTGCTGTGTGATGACCGTATGGGGTGAAAAGTTAGGAGTGGACCAAGCTGCTTGGACCACCTAGGTCCGTGAGTAGCCTGGGCACGTGCCGTCCAGAAAGTCCAGTGTTGGGTTTCAGTCCTGCCTTTGCCTGGTCTCTGCATGCCACTTATCTTCTCCAGGACTCTGTTTCCCCATCTCTAAAGTGGGGGTGATCATGCAAGGACCTCCCACAATAGTGGCAAGGATGAATTCGAATGGGAGATGCTCGGCACTTAGCCCATTGTTTGGCAGTGAGTAGCACGCCGTAAACAGTAGCTGTTACGGTTGTAATAATAGTTGTCATTTATTATTTCCTATGTGTTGCACTTTCTTTCTGTGCAGCTGACAGCGGTAGGTGCCCTGACCACCATTTCTACTGAGACAAAGCCTTCGGCAGGACCCCCTATGGGGTTGGGGTCATTTGCTAACCCTGTGCCATTCCTTAGCATCTGGGGGCAAGCTGAGTTGCCCCTGTCTTCCCCAGGCTTTGTCACATCCTGGGTAGTGCCTGCTCTGGCCTCTGGCCACCACCTTGTCCTTGTCCCTCGGGCCATTCTCGTCACCCATGTGCTCACACTTTGCCCTCCAGCTCCACCTGGCTGAGCTCGGCTGCATCCTCCAGATAACGGAATCTGGAGAGCGGGGCTGGGCCTCCAAGCAGCCCGATGGTCCTCATTCTCCGCTCCTCACAGTCTTGCCTAGTGGTCTTGTCCCTTTCACCCTCCTGCTCGTAACTTTAAAAATAACAGAGTAGCCTGTCCCCACCGAGGGCTGTAACCCGACCCGAGTTGGATTCTGCTCCATCAGAGCCTGGAGTACAAGGACTCAGCACTTGGGAGTATGAGGCCTTGGTGCTATAGCTGCTCTGTCCTCAGCTTGCTGGGTGACTCTAGACAGGCTCCACCCCCTGCTTCCCTGTGCCTCAGTTTCCCCATCCATACAATGTGATTCAGATAGTCTGTAATGCTGGAGTGTGAAACTTTGCTTATTCTGGTGAAGGTAGACAGCTGGGGTCCCCGTGTTGATGGCTGTCAAGTGGGGTTGACGTCACCCCAAGTGGAGGGGTGTTGGGAAGGAACTCCCCCAGGGACTGGGAGTGGGAGCAGGAAGAGTGGGCCAAGTCCCTCAGCTGGTCTCGGGCAGATCTGCCTCCTGTTCTACTTCTGAACCCCAGCTCCCTTCCAGGGCTAAAGGACTCCTTGTGCCCACCAAGAGGTGAGCAACAGCCAAGGTGGCTGGCAGGGCCTGGGTAGCAGGCGGTGGCTTGGCCCGGAGGCCTGGTGCGGCACTGGGCCAGGATCATCCCTCCCTGGGCTCCGACTCACGCTCACCCACTCACTGGCTTCCCGAGGCCTCTGCATTGCAGCAGACAGAAGCCTTTGCTGGCAACCCAGCTGGGGCTCGGGGTGGAGCAGGGAACTGGGTAGGGGGTATCTGTTCCCACCAGCCCTTGCCCTGCTCCCTCCCCTGCCCCTTGTCCCATTCAGCCCTGGCTTTCCTTGGAGCCCCAGCTGCTGACAGGGGATCCTTCTCTGGCACTGACTTGAGTCTTACCTGGAAGTGCTAGGCTTTAGACAGGGCCCAGGCTCAAGGGCTGTTAAGCCCCTGGGTCCTTTCTGCATCTCAGACTTCACCTCCCCCAGTGACATTAGGGGGGTCTTGCCTGCCCCTGGAGAGGCTGTTTTGAAGCATTAGGGCTTTGGAGCTGAGAGCACAGACTTCTGAACTCCACAGCCTGGGTTCACATCCCAGCTCTGCCACTTCCTAGCTGTGTGATCTGGGACAGCTCACTTAACCTCTCTGTGCCTCAGTCTTCTTGACTGTAAAATGGAGACAATAATAGATCACAAAGTTCTTGTGAAGATTCATGTATTTAAATCACATTCATACATTCAAGTCCTTACACAAACACTCCCTATCAGTACTTGAATTGACAAGTGTTTTAGCTTCATAGTTTAGAGCCCAGATTCTGGAGCCAGATAGCTCTGGGTTCAAATCCCGCTCTGCTACTCACCAGCTGTGTGATCTTGTACAAGTTCATAACTTCTCGGGGCTTCAATTTCTCCATCTGCTAAATGGGGTTGAGGATAGTACAAACCTCACAAGTTGTTTCAAGGGTTAAATAAGCAAACACATATAGTGCATGGCCTGTATAAAAGGCTGGGCCTGGGGCTTCTGGCTGGCTTACTCAGTAGAGCATGTGATTCTTGATTTCAGGGTCATGAGTTCAAGCCCCATGTTGGGCATGGAGCCTACTTAAAATATAAGATAAAGTTAAATGCTATTTAGAAAAAAATTTTTTAAAAATTCTATAAGGGACACCTGGGTGGCTCAGTCGGTTAAGCTGCTGCCTTTGGCTCAGGTCATGATCCCAGGGTCCTGGGACCGAGTCCCCCATCAGGCTCCTTGTCTAGTGGGGAGCCTGCTTCTGTCTCTGCCTGCCACTCTGCCTGCTTGTGCTCTCTCTCTGACAAATAAATAAATAAAATCTTTAAAAAATAAATAAATAAACATAAAAATTCTATAAAAGACCAGGCCCAGAGGAAGGGCTATGTTACATAACTGTTTGCTTATACTTACTAGGCACCTGCTCTGCTGTACAGAGTTTGAGAGTTAGGTGCTGGGATCCTTTACATATTAGCCCAAGTCCTGCCTTGGACCTTTGTTGGCAGAGTGATATGGGGCACATGCTTTTGCCTCTCTGTGCCTCAGTTTCCCCCAACTACATATGGGAATGTGGAAGCAACTGCCTCATGGGGTTTGTGGGGTTTCTGTCACTCCAGAATGTGAGCCACTAGCATTTGGGCACCAGAGCTGTAGGGGAAAGGGTCTGTCTAGCTGACCCCCATCCCAGTCATTACTCAGAGTGACCCCTACTGGCGTTCCATGCCTTTCCTTTCCACGTGGGGACTCCAGAACTTTGCCCATTTTGCAGACCAGATGACAAATACCCCAGGAAGAAAAGGGATGGACCCAAGTCAAGAGGTAGCACTCAGAGGCACACCCCTAGCCCGGTCCCCATCCTGCCCTGGATAGGTCCCACTTCCAAACACTACCATCAGGCCCACATCCTACCATGTCCCTGCAGCTCCTGGGGTCTCCTAGGCACTGGCTCAGCCCCAAAGGGCGTAGTGTTGGGGGGGTTGCTTTGGCCAAAGCAGACATCAAACTCCAGAAAGCCAATAGGGCCTAGGTCAGGGGGTAAAGGGCAACCTGGGCTGAAGGAAAATATTCTGGAAACTTCCAGGCAGATGTGAAAGTCCCTGGTTGCTCTAGGGCCTGTGGCCAACCACCCCATCCCCCTGACTTCTTGGTGTAAGGCCGGAGTTGGGGAGAACAGGAAACAAACATTTACTATGCACCCACTGTATACAGTGGTTAACAGTCAGCAGCAATGGGTATGTGTCAGGCACTGTGCCCAGAGCAGATGTTCGTGCACCGAACTCATGCTGTTTTAAAAATGAGGAAATGGGTTCAGAGAAATTAGTAGTAGTGCGGTAGTAGTAATATATAGTATTACTAGTAATGTACTAGTAATGTATAATAGTACTAGTACTCATACTAGTTACTAGTAGTAAAAACAGCACTCTTTGCTTATCTCAGTTGCATCCAGATGCCGTCACCCTCACCTCCCTGACCCTGTGGGATCCCTCAAGCACGTCGGCACCCTCCTGTCTCAGGGCCGTGGCACCGTCTGTTCCACCCGTGGATGCTTCCCCCAGATATCCGCGTGTCGGGCTCCCTAACCTCTTTTCAGTCTTGCTCAAGTGTGACCTTCACAGTAAGGTCTTCCCTGGACCCCCTATTTACAACTGTTCTCCCCTCCCCATCGCCCCCCAATTCCCTGCACCCCATTCCCCCCCCCCCCCCCCCCAGCCCTTAGCTCTTATCACACTGTAGCATTCACTTATTGTGTTGGTCTTTCTCTGACGTGGGTGTGTCATCTCCACAAAATCAGGGATCTTTGTGTTTGTTCATTGTTAAATCCCAACACTCAGAACAGAGTCTGGCCCACCCAATACCCACTGATTCTCAGGAAACACTCCTTGAATGAGTGGGATGTTCCCACCAGTCCTATGACTTCGGTGCTCCCGTCACTGCCCTCTCACAGATGGGGGACACCGAGGCACACAGCCACCAAGGCGCAAACCTGAACCCCTTGCCCTGTTGCCCCCAGTAGGTCTGGCCTCGCCCCACGGACCATGGCCTTGCCCCCATGAGCTAGAGCCTGTTCCGCGGCACGCACCCACCGCTAGCCAGCAGGATGCAGCTGTGGAAGGCGGTGGTGGTGACCCTGGCCTTCATGAGCATGGACGTCGGCATGACCACGGCCATCTACATCCTCAGCCACCTGGACCGCAGCCTGCTGGAGGACATCCGCCATTTCAACATCTTTGACTCGGTGCTGGACCTCTGGGCAGCCTGCCTCTACCGCAGCTGCCTGCTGCTGGGAGCCACCATCGGGGTGGCCAAGAACAGCGCCTTGGGGCCGCGGCGGCTTCGAGCCTCCTGGACGGTCATCGCCCTTGTGTGCCTCTTCGTGGGCATCTACACCATGGTGAAGCTGCTGCTCTTCTCTGAGGTCCGGAAGCCAGTCCGGGACCCGTGGTTCTGGGCCCTCTTCGTGTGGACTTATATCTCACTCGCTGCTTCCTTCGTGCTCTGGTGGCTGTTGTCCACGGTGCGGCCGGACGCCAAAGCCCTGGAGCCGGGGGCTGAGGCCGAGGCCGAGGGCTTCCCGAGGGAGCCCCGACCCCCTCGTGAGCAGGCATCGGGGGCCACGCTGCAAAAGCTGCTGTCCTACACCAAGCCTGACGTGGCCTTCCTTGTGGCGGCCTCCTTCTTCCTCATTGTGGCAGCTCTGGGTAAGTGAGGAGCCCGGGGGCCTGGCGGGCACCCTGGAAAGCAGTTTGGGGGGGGGAGTTACATAACTACTGCATCCTTCCTCTTAAATCTTTTGACATTTTGTTCACATGGTTCAACATCAAATTGATGTGAACAGGTGAATACTGAACGTTCCATTCTCAGTTCTGCTCTGACGGCCCTGATCTCCCTGCCGAGGGCTAACGACAGGAAATGTTCTGGAAGCTTCCAAGTGGGTGCGAAACCACTTCTATTCATTTCTTGTGTATGTTCTCCCAGTGTTTCCTGATGAAAGCCAAACAAGCAAAAACGGACCTGTTACTCTCACCACCTCTCACACGTTACTTCGCGTCTTGCTTTGACCACTTAATGACATATTTTAGAAATTTCCAGTCAGTACCTCATTCCTTTATTTGGCTGCATAATAGTCCCCTGTGAGGCCAGTCCAGAGATTATTTAGTTGGTCTCCTTTTCTTGGCCCTTCGAGTTGTTTCGAGTCTTTTCTCTTACAGTAAATAACCTTGTTTGTACACATTCCATATAAATGTGGGTGTATTTGTAGGATAGATTCCCAGAAGTGGGATCACTGGGTCAAACAAAGCATTTTTTTGTAACAGAGCAGGATATACTAGAGACTGTCAGAACACGGTGTCTGTGGTTAGAGTAAGTACTGTGTGGTGAAACTTTTATTTTAGTTACGTGTGCCTGCGTGTGAAGTGAGCGTGTCCGGGTTCGTCGTGTAAAATGCATTTGTTACTATTGGTTCTGGCCCAAACAGTGTGAAAGCGCTTCTTCAGATAAGGCGGGTGGGAAGGTGACATCTCAAGGTCAAAATTCCATGGGTTCCGGGGGTCACGAGCACTGGACATGCATTGCAGTCCTGCTCCCTACCTGGCTGTGTGCTTGTGGGCAAGTTATCAGGCCTTCCAGAGCCTCGCTTCCATGAAATGGAGACTGTTAGCATCCCCCATGTTTCCTGACGTTGGAAAACTTGAATAAAACGGATAGGAGAAGGGCAGGTCCAGAGCTTGGTACAGTGTGGTAAGTGCTCAGGAATGTTAGCCATTCTGAGTTGTTACACATTTAACAGACAGCATCTGGGAGTGGCCCCAAACCCAGACTGTTCTCAGAGAGGACAGGCAGGCCCCAGAGCTGACCCCTGTCCTCTCACTATCGACCTTCTGCCCTCTCAGTCCCAGACCCTCTGCTGCTCTGTGATTTTATGCAAGTTACTTAACCTCTCTGGGTCTCAGTCTCCTCATCTGTTAAATGGGCATAATAGCAGTACCAGTCGTGATCGGGCTTATGAGGTTCAGCAAGCTAATATGGATAAGACACTGCAAACAGCTCCTGGAACCTGGAAGGCTCCCAATATATTTTAGTGCCTGTGAGTGTAGGGCTGACCCTTTTCCATTTAACCAGAGAGTTTTCCCTGCTCATGTTTCAAGGTCCCAATATCCCCTCCTCCGAGAAGCCTTCTTGGATTACAGTGACTATGATTCTTTATCTGCACCTCAGCTGTAGCACTAGTGACACGAAAATCATGAGTCCACTGTCCTGCTTCCCCTATCAGGCTTTGAGCCCCTTTGGGCCATTTTGGCCAGGTCTGACTCACCCCAGGTCCCTCCCTACCCCAGCCCACAACCTGGTACAGAGGCGGGCTCATGGAATGAATGAACACATAACCATCCCGCTTGTGTAGCCAGATGTCACCCATGACCTCGTTTCCGCCCCCTGCTGGGGCCCTGTTGTCAGCTGCTATGTGCTCGGGGAATACAGATGTCTTAAAATACCACGAAGCAGAGTCTGCCAGCCTGCAGGACTGCGTGGAGGTTAAGGGCTTGGACTCAAGATCAGGCCCCCAACTGCACTGATCGCCTGAGTCAAGGTTACAGAACCTGGCCAAGCCTCAGCTTCTCATCCCAAAAGTAGGATTTTGCTGGGCTCTTATGAAAGTTGGGTAAGCTGGAGCATGGTGCGGGGAAAAGTGAGTACTTCCCACAAGGTAGGGACTGTGACTACTGATAATTCTCAGTCAGCCAGTGGAGCATCTCCTAGTACATTACAATTCTTTTATATTGGGTTTCACAGCAACCCGACTAGAAAACCTTGGGCAAATACCTTTGCCTTGATTTCCTCATCTGTAAAATGGGAAGAATCGCGATACCACACCTATGAGATTATTGGGGGGCATATGGGATTTGAAAGAGATTTGGAAGCAGATATCCAGGGCAACAATGCTCTACACAGAGGAAACAGCCCGTGCAAAGGTCCTGAAGCAGGAAGGTGCCTGGTTGTGAAAGGAAAAGCGGAGGTCAGCGTAGCTGGGGTGGTGTGGGAGGGTAGACGGAAAGAGAGTAGAAGATGAAGTCAGGGCAGTAGCAGGTGCCTGGTCCTGTAGGGCACCACTGGCCACTGTAAGGACTTTGATTTTTACCTTGAATGAGTTGGAAGCCTGAGGAGTGACCAGGTCTGACTGGGTTTCCTAGGGCCCCACTGTGTGCTGCGTGGAGGACAGGCTGATGGGGACAAGGGTGGCAGCAGGGAGAACCAGGAGTTGGCTGAGAAAGTCCAGGTGAGGTTGGAGACTTGAACCCAGGTGGGAGCAGTAGGGGCAGTGGAAGAGGTTGGATCTGGAGGTACTGTTGACCTTGAGCAACATGGGGGCAGCTTGAAAACGCTGGTATGACTTTTGACTCCCCAAGAGCTTAACTACTAATAGCCTGCTGTTGCCCAGAAGCCTTGCTGGTCACATAAACAGGAGATTAGCACATATTTTGTATCATACAAAATGTATCATACACTGTATTCTTACAATCAAGTGAACTACAGGAAAGACAATTTTGCTAGAAGTCATAAGGAGGGGCACCTGGGTGGCTCAGTGGGTTAAGCGTCTGCCTTTAGCTCAGGTCATGATCCCAGAGTCCTGGGATCTAGCCCTGCATCAGGCTCCCTGCTCAGCGGGGAGCCTGCATCTCTCTCTCCCCTTGCTCCTGTTCTCTCTCTCTCTAAAAGAAAAAAGAAAGAAAGGAAGAAAAAAAGAAAGAAAGAAAGAAAGAAAAGTCATAAGGAAAATACATTTATAGTCCTGTAACGTGTTTATGGAAAAAAACCTATGTGTAAGCAGACCTGCACAACCCGTGTTGTTCAAGGGTCAGCTGTATTTTGAAGGTGGAGCCCCAGGATATGCCAGTGGATTGGAGAGTTTCATGTGATTCTTGAACGGATTTTTTTTTTTTAAGATTTTATTTATTTATTTGACAGACAGAGATCACAAGCAGCAGAGAGGCAGGCAGAGAGAGAGAGAGAGAGGGAAGCAGGCTCCCCGCTGAGCAGAGAGCCCGATGCGGGGCTCAATCCCAGAATCCTGGGATCATGACTTGAGCCGAAGGCAGAGGCTTAACCCACTGAGCCACGCAGGCGCCCCATTCTTGCGTGGATTTAACAAGAGTTTGTGCACATGCTTGACGCAGTGCCTGCTACCCAGGAAGGGTCCCCAAGTGTCTGTTGTGCTTAGTATTATCATTGATGTTTACTGGAGCTGCCTTTGGAGCTCGCTGATGCCCTTGTCTTCCCCGCGGGTGAACTGAGGTCGGACTTCAGCTCAGGTGGGCTCCACAGTGGTGGTGAGGGACCCCATCTAGCAGAGGACCATGGGGACCAAGGCCCTCAAGGCTGCCACCTTGTGGTCCCTGTGCCAAGACCAGCAGAGGGCAGCAGAACCCCATAGAAGGCCTCCCTGTCTCCCACAGAGCTGGCCAAGACTCCTTCGAGGACCCTTACTGAGCTCCTGCTGTGTGCCAGGCCACGCCTGTGGGAGGAGCCGTAGTGGCAGTGAGGACACGGCCTGGTCTGACCACCTGCAGTTCCGTGTCCATCGTTCCCACAAGTTGAGAGCGGGCTTTCCGGGTTATTGGGGAGGGAAGGGGCTAGGAAGGAGCCCCTAGATGGGAGGCCAGTTTGCATCTGAGTCCTGGCCTTTCGTCTTACCTGCCCTGTGCCGTGTGACCTCTGGTGTCCCAGGCAGAGCACTCCGCCTCTGATCTCCCATTCACCTCTGTGAAATGGGGGTGAGTCCCGCTCGCCCCCTCTCCCCACTCCACCTGGCACGTTCTGAAGATACAGGAGGATAACAGGTGGGAAATCATGGCAAAAGGCAAAGTGCTCCACCCAAGGGGCTGGATGGCGATCTCCAGCAGTGCCCAGAACCAAGTGAACTTTGGCCGTGTGGCCCATCTTTCAGCTTCACTGCCCTCGTCTGCAACACGCAGTGATAACAGGCCCAGCTGCCGTGACTGTGCAGAGGGGACGAAGTCCCACGGCTCCGCACGCTCAGGCCTGGTGGCTGTTATTAACAAGATCGCCCCAGTCTATATCTGTTGAATAACCTGTGTTTCCTGCTCTGAAAAGAGGGGGGCCTGAAGCTGTATGGGCCCTCACCCCACCTCCTGCCATGGCAAGAAGCAGGAGTTCGCCAGGAGAGAATACCCGGTTAGTGGAGCGAGCGGAGGCAGGGTACAGGCTCCCATGGTTACAGACGCCCCCTGAGCCCTCCTTGTCTCCTGGCAGGAGAGACCTTCCTTCCCTACTACACTGGCCGGGCCATTGATGGCATCGTCATCCAGAAGAGCATGGAGCAGTTCAGCACGGCGGTCATTGTCATGTGCCTGCTGGCCATCGGCAGGTAGCATGCTCACACCCCCACGCCCCGCCTCTCCAGGCCCACGGCAGGGGGAGGGAGGTCAGGGAGGCCCCGGAGAGGGCCCTGGAGAACCTGTCCCTCAGCCCTTCATCATGGTAACCAACAACCAAACAGGCTTAGAACCTGTATCCACTGATGGATCGCTGCCCTCGAATCACACCCTCTTGTCCCTAAAATTGGCTTCAGGCCTCGAGGTTCCCCTTTCACCCTCCCTGGCTACTCTCCAAGCGGGAAACCAGGGACAGCTTCATCTGTGCTGTTGTGGAAGGAAGAGGGGTCTGGCTGGCAGCCTGGGGTCCCTCGTCCCCAGTAAACACAGTCCCCTATCTGCCCTCATCATGGGGACTCCAGCTGGGGAACAAGGGAGGATGCATGGTGGTACCAGCCCTGGAAGGGGGCCCAAGGTTGGGTCCCTCCCCGTGTCTGCTCTGCGAGGGGCCCGCACCTGCCAGCCGTGGGAGGGGGCAGCCGGGGTGATGGCTGTGGGTTGCCACAGGACGTCGTGCTCTGTGTAACATCTCTTATCTGCAATTAGCTCATTTGCCGCAGGTGTTCGGGGCGGCATTTTTACCCTCATATTTGCCAGACTGAACATTCGCCTTCGGAACCGTCTCTTCCGCTCACTGGTGTCCCAGGAGATGAGCTTCTTTGACGAGAATCGCACAGGTTGGTCCTCCAGCAGCCTGGGGTAGCCTCTGGCAGGGGGCGCGTCTCACGCTGGGGGTTTCGATGGCTGGCTTTTCCCGAGATCCTGTTCAGGATAGAGACACCCTGGGAGGCCCTGCCGGAGGCCTTCGGGAAGCTGGCCTGCTGGCTGAGGTTTGGGTATGAGCTGTGGCCACTGTAGCAGGACCTTGGCCAGGCCACCCGATGTCCCTGCAGGAGCCAAGAACTTGCTTTCCACTGTTCTTTGGGAACCACAAAGGCCAGAACTGTCCAAGCCTGGGGCCAGAGAGGCTCAGCTCGAAGCGGGTGTGAGGGGTGGGGCGCAGGACACTACAGTATCCGGCCAGGATCCCAGGCTCTCAGACAGACTGGCCCTGGTTCCAACACTCGCTAACTTAGCCCCTCTGAGCCTCTGTTTTCTCATCTTGAAAACGGGAACGATAGTAGGAGGCAAGTGCTGAAAGTTTCTCCTCCCTCCTCCCCCCAGCCCAGATGATTGCTTCTCCCTGAGGGAAGAGGGGGTCATCCCCTCTGCCAGTGACAGGGAGGAGAGATGGGTTTGGTTCCGACTCGATCAGGGACAGGCCGTGTGGCACCAGCTGAACCTTCCCTTTCTGATCCTCAGCTGCCTCCCCCATACCGTGGGATGTGACCTCAGAAGATGCTAGTGGCGAGGGCCAGGCTCAGAGCACCCCTCAAGGGGTGTCTGCTCTTCTCTCCCCTGCTCCCCTCCCCACCTAGAATGGAGGGGAGGCCTGAGCTCCCTGCTGCCTGTCTCAGAAGCCCCTTCTTGTCTCCTTGCCCCCAGCCACAGTGGCCCCGTTGCCACAGTGGGAACTGAGCTGCCTGTGTTCCAGGGGACCTCATCTCCCGCCTCACCTCGGACACCACCATGGTCAGCGACTTGGTCTCCCAGAATATCAACATCTTCCTGCGGAACACGGTCAAGGTCACGGGCGTGGTGGTCTTCATGTTCAGCCTCTCGTGGCAGCTGTCATTGGTCACCTTCATGGGCTTCCCCATCATCATGATGGTGTCTGACATCTACGGCAAGTACTACAAGGTAGGCCCCCCAGGGTCCCTGCTGGGGTCTGCGCAGGGCTCCGGAGTGAGGGGGGAGCCTCACGAGGGGTTCTGGGGCGGCCCTGGGGGCTACTGAAGGACTCGCCCACCCACCTGTGCGTTCAGTCATTCAGGGGATCCTTATGAATCGTGTCCTAATCCCAGGCACCAGGATCTATCGGTGGAACAGAAAAGCTTCTGCCCTCAAGGGGCTCATGTTCTAGTGCAAGAGGCAGACGGTAATTGACAGCAGGAATGGCAACAGTACAGAATGATGAAAGGTGGTGGGTGCTAAGGAGGAAAATAAAGTTGGGGGGGCATGGCAGGTGGCACCTGAGAAGGTGACATTTGAGCAAAGAGGGGGACATCTCCAGGGAAGCATGTTCCAGGCGGAGGGTGAAACCAGTGCCAAGGCCTTGAGGTGGGAACGTGCCCGGTGTATTTGAGGAGCCTCCGGGAGGCCAGTGGGGCTGGATCGCGCGTGAGGGGGCGCGACAGGGAATGAGGGCCGGGTGGTGACAAGGTCAGGCTGTAGGCCTTTGCAAGAACTTTGGTTTACACTGAGCGCAGAGCTCGCTGTCTTTCTGGAGAGTGTCAATGTGGGGGTGGCTCAGGCCCCAGGATCGAGGCCCTCACCCGCGAAGCAGCTAGGGGCAGGCTACGGGCCCCTCTAGCTGCTCCTTGACGCTGCCTCTGCCAGGGAGGCGAGCCTGATGAGCGAGACCCCTGCCTCAGCCTCCTCCTGCTCCCCGCCTTGGTGGGTGGTCCTGAGCCGCAAGCAACTGAGGCTGGGTTTAGACAGGTGCAGGAGGCTCCTTCCCAGGGACCAGGCCTGAGGGGACAGGGGGCCTCCTGGACAGGAGTGACCCGCTCACTTAGAACCTTTGGTGCCCATGGCATGAGGCCAGCCCCCAAGTGCATCCTATACCCCACAACCACTGTGGTGCCTTCTGGCAGAGCCCCGTACCCAGCAGGGCCCTATCCCCCGTGATTCCCGGTTGCGGGCCTCTGTTTTCCTCCCTGAGTAGAAAGAGTAAATATATGAGTTGGAGCCATTTCCCTTCCTCTGCTCCCCACCCCGCCCTTCCTGCCTTCCGGCCAGCCCCCAGGACAGGGCAGGAAACCCTAGAGCTTCCCCCCATTTACCCGCCCTGCACACCTTAGTCCCCGCCTTCAAGTTCAGTTGGGCGGGACCTCAAGGAAGCTCTGGAGCTCTCCTGCTGGGACCTGCATGAGTACAGCCACCAGCCCCCTCGTCATCGTCACAAGCCCCACACACACTGCCCTCGACCAGACATGACTCAGGACACAGAATGGCTCCACCCGAGATGCCAGAACACGCTGCATGCTTCCGATGGCCTCAGCGAGCCTTGAAGGTCATGGGACGCGCCCTTGCATGATCCTGGCCTGGCCTCTCTGGCAACCTTCCTCAAAGGTTTGAGAATCTTGGGGCTCCTGGGTGGCTCAGTGGGTTAAGCCTCTGCTTTCAGCTCAGGTCATGATCTCAGGGTCCTGGGATTGAGCCCCGCATTAGGCTCTCTGCTTAGCAGGGAGCCTGCTTCCCCCACACCCCCTGCCTGCCTCTCTGCCTACTTGTGATCTTTCTCTCTGTCAAATAAATAAATAAAATCTTAAAAAAAAAAAAAAAAGGTTTGAGAATCTGAGGATGTTAACTATTGCAAGGCCTGAACAGCTCTGCCCAGGGGCCACTTCAAGAGCTGTGGTGGGCTACAGCCTTGTGGTCCGACACCTGGGACAATCTCTCAGCCATCTATACCCAGTCATACACACACAGTGCAGCCAGATTTCACAGCCCTCCACCACCATCTAGAATTGGCTAGGAGTTCTGGAATCTCTGTGCCAGTCTTCAGGCGCTACCATAATTTAATATATATTGATAATGTAAATGGCACCCCCTTAATACTTAGTGTTTCTTGTATTATGTACAACCTGAACAACCGTCCAGGGCATCCCCCCCCTTTTTTTTAATTAACTTATAATGTATTATTAACCCCAGGGGTACAGGTCTGTGAATCGCCAGGTTTACACACTTCACAGCACTCATCATGGCACATACCTTCCCCAATGTCCATAACCCAACCACCCTCTCCCTACTCCCCTTCCCCGACAACCCTCAGTTTGTTTTGTGAGATTCAGAGTCTCTTATGGTTTGTCTCCCTCCCGATCCCATCTTGTTTCAATTTTTCCTTCCCTGCCCCCCAGGTCCCCCACTTTGCCTCTCAACTTCCTCATATCAGAAGATCATATGATAATTGTCTTTCTCTGATTGACTTACTTCGCTCAGCCTAATACCCTCTAGTTCTATCCACGTTGTCGCAAATGGCAAGATTTCATTTCTTTTGATGGCTGCATAGTATTCCATTGTGTGTATCCACATCTTCTTCAGGTCATCCCTGTCTTATACCAGCACAGGATCAGGTGTCAAGTCTCCTTTTCTGAGAGAATTACCAAAAGCTATGTGTTTGTGAATAACCACCTTTAAGTACTGGAGAGGACTTCATGATCAGTCCCCCATCCCTCGGGACCTGGGACCTCAGGAGCTCACCCAAGAACCCAGCTAGAGTCTATTCTCTGAGTCTGTCCAATGAAGCTAGAAGGTGATGGGGGGAGTGGGGGGTGGTCTTATCCTTTTGTTTTTGGACTCTGTGCACAGAGAGCTGGTGCTAACTGAGGGTAGAAAAACCCAGAGAGACTGAGGGGCCATTGGATAGTGAGACTGTTTTGGGGTTTCCTCCCTCTTGTCCCTGCCCCTGGCCACAGAGGCTCTCCAAAGAGGTCCAGAATGCCCTGGCAAGGGCCAGCAGCACAGCCGAGGAGACCATTAGTGCCATGAAGACCGTGCGGAGCTTTGCCAACGAGGAGGAAGAAGCAGAGGTGTATTCCCGGAAGCTCCAGCAGGTGTACAAGCTAAACAGGAAGGAGGCCGCAGCCTACACCTACTACGTCTGGGGCAGTGGGGTATGTGCCCCTGGCCTGGGCAGGTCTGTCGGGGGTCAGGTCACAAAGATGGAGGGATCCCCTGACCGGAACGTAAGCCTTGGTCCCTCCATGTCGGTGTCAGCCTGGTTACACTTGACCTTTCTCTGCCCCTCTTTCTGCGTTTCGACAGGGGAAGCTTTCTGGGAAGGACTGTACTCTCCCAGTGATTGTCCTCATGGGGCACCTCCTCCTTCCCTCTTACCTGGGCACAGGGTAGCCGGGGAAGCATCTCGGCTGGGGAAACGTCCTTGCCCCGGAAGGGAGTCACCCCAAGGCCAGCGGGACCCAACCTAGGCCGCCTGGCAGGCCCTGTGTCAAACCACACACACCCCATTAGAGTGTCTAGCTCACTCCCTGGGGGTGAGTCACAGCCCCTCCCTGGAGAATGGGGAGCGCTTGGAGCATGCTGCTGTCTGTTGGCCACGTCTGGGAGGTGGGCACATCGGGGCATAGCTGGGGGTAGGTATGAGAAGGGTTAGTTTAGGAGGAAGAAAGAGTGGTGATCTACCAGGGGGCCAGGGGTCAGGGCAGGCTGTCCCTCAAGAGGACCCAGCCAGAGAGAAGGGGCCCGAAACCCAGCTCAGCTAGCCAAGCCTCTCAGCGGTCTGCCCACCTGCATGGGGACCTTTTGTCCCTGGCACAAAGGCACCATGGTCTAACCATCGATCTGGGTCTAACCCAGCCAGGGGCTTGGGGTGGGGAGAGGCAGTGGGAGGCAACGGTGCCCTGGACACAGCCCCTCCTTCAGGGAACCTGGTGGGGACAAGAAGCAGACCCCATCGTCCCGCCCTGCCTGGCTTGCTGTGTGACCTTAGCCCATGGACTGAACCTCCCTGAGCCTTGCTCTTTCCAGTGAGGAGGAAGACTAACAGCTCCCGCCTGGCCTGGCTGAGTGCTGGAGGCTGTGTGTGTGCGTGCCAGGGCCTCACAAAGAAAGCCTTGTTCTCCGCCAGGCCCATGGCTCCCTCCAGCTAGGGGCCTTTGTGGGGAAAAAGTCCAGGGCCGAGGAGCGGGAGGGCAAGAGTGACAGCCAGGCAGCAGCATGTGGGAGGACACCCCTTCCTGGCTAGAGTTCAGTCTGCGACTGAGAGCACAGCCCACAGCTGCTCTCACACTGCCCTGCAGCCTGGGGGCGGGGGTGGGATGGCAGGCTCAGGCCAAGGCCTCTGTGACCCAGGTCCCCTCTTCCCTCTGCCCTCAGCTCACGCTGCTGGTCGTCCAGGTCAGTATCCTCTACTACGGGGGCCACCTCGTCATCTCAGGGCAGATGACCAGCGGCAACCTCATCTCCTTCATTATCTACGAGTTTGTCCTGGGAGACTGTATGGAGGTGAGTGGCTGGCTTGGGAAGGGGGTCTCGGGGGGCTGGAGGGATGGGGAAGAAGGATGTAAAGGTGGGGGATGGTCCAGGGTGATGGAGGGCGTTTCTTTCTAGGTAGGTAGGGGAGAGAACATAGTACCAATGATGACAGTAGTATTACCAAGTGGCTGTCACAGCTCCATTTACTAAGTCGAGTGACAGGGACAAGGGTGTTTCAAGACACGCTCCGAACAACACCGTGAAAGGGGTCTTAGTCCTGTTCTACCTCCCATTTCTCTGGAAAAGCGGCTGAGTCTCAGGCCAAGGGACTTGCCTACCACGTTAGTGGGGGAACCCAGTTCAAAACCAGATGAGTCTGAATTTATTTTAACCCACTTAGATTTTTTAAATATATTTTTAAGAGATTTTATTTATTTGTTTATTTGACACACAGAGAGACAGCGAGAGAGGGAACACAAGTTGGGGGAGGCTGTGGGAGAGGGAAAAGCAGGCTCCCCGCTGAGCAGAGAGCCCGATGTGGGGCTTGATCCCAGGACCCTGGGATCATGACCTGAGCCGAAGGCAGAGGCTTAACCCACTGAGCCACCCAGGCGCCCCTATTTTAACACAACTTTTTTTTTTTTTTAAGATTTTTATTTATTTATTTATTGGACAGAGAGAGAGAACACAATCAGGGGGAGTGGCAGGCAGAGGGAGAAGCAGGCTCCCCGCTGAGCAGAGAGCCCAATGCGGGGCTCAATCCCAGGACCCTGGGATCATGACCCGAGCCAAAGGCAGATGCTTAACCAACTGAGCCACCCAGGTTCCCCTTTAACACAACTTTAAAGAGTTTAAAACCCCACAGGAAAAGCAGGGGTTGTTTTATATTGCCTTCATTCAGGCTCCCCTAGGAGCAGACCCGGAGACAGGGAGCTGGGGTGTTCCCGCCCAAGCCCTCAGCTGCTGCTTGAGGATGCCCTGAGTGGGGGAGTTTACTCCCAGGCACAGAGGTTGGGCCTCTGTGTCCTCCAGTGAGAAAGCTGGGGCTGTCTGGGGAGAGAGCCGTTAGGGTCTGCTGCAGATGGCTAGACCTCTACTTTGGCTAGGGCCACACCTGCCTGTCAGCCCGCAGTCCTGCCTCTAGGAACCGGGGCGCAGAGACACCCACACCGGTGGGCAGAGGTGTATTACTTTCCAGAGTGGTAAGTCGAAGCGTCCTCCAGTGCCCACCAGTCAGGGATCAGGCCGACATGGCCCATCGGTATTCCAGAAGCAGGGTGTCTCAGCCATAGATATGAGGCAGATCTGGGGGTACCAGCATGCAAGGGACCCTGAGGCACACCATGAAGGAATGGGAAGAGTGTGATCCCAATGGCATGGTTTTTAAGTCTCAGAATTATTTACGTATGCGCCTGTGGGAGGAGGCCCAAGGGCACCGCTCCGTGGTGCTCAGATCTTAACATGAGTGATAATAGCTTGATGTTAATAACAGTCCTCGGTGCTGGGTTCCCCAGCCAGGCCCCCGTGGTCGTAGCACACAAGGGCCTAAACTCAGGAGCCAGTCGTCCCTGGGTTCAAGGCCTGGCTCTGCCACTTCCCAGCTGTGTGACCTGGGGGGAAGGGACGGGGACACTCTGTGCCTCAGTTTTCTCATCGGCAAAAATGAGATGACGCTAAAAGCTACCCCCCGTAACGTATACAGAGTTCTCAGCAAAATGAGTCGTCATCATCACTCACATTTGTTGTGTATGTTTTTACGTAAGGCGCGTGGATAGCGTGCATTAAGAGCAGTTTTTAAAACCGAAATTTAAGAAATGCTTTGGCAGCCGAGGGAGGAATTCTGTTCAGAATTCCTGTTCTGCCACATTCTGGCGGGTTTTTTAACTTCCCTGCCCTTCCGTTTCCTCCGCTGGGGGGTGAGAACACCCCCCACCGCCCGCAGGACGGCTGTGAGGTTTAGCTGTAATGACTGCAAGGCCCTCCTTCCTAATGTGTTCTCACCAGCGGCTCCGTGTCTGTTATCATTGCTCTCATGGTTTGCTTGTTTGTTTTTAAGATTTTATTTATTTATTTGAGAGAGAGAAAGAGGGAGAGCGAGCATGAGCAGGGCGAGTGGGAGAGGGAGAAACAGACTCCCCGCTGAGCAGGGAGCCCGATGCGGGGCTTAGCCCCAGGACCCCGGGACCATGACCTGAGCCAAAGGCAGATTCTTAACCACTGAGCCACCCAGGCGGCCCCTTGCTGCCCTCGTCTTGTCAGTGTTGTCATTCCCGGCTGTACTGCTGGGGGGCTCCTGGCAGCGTCCTGCCCCCCCCAACGGCTGCTGTGTCCCTGCTCTCTCTGCACCCTTTCATCACTCTGGCACCATGGGGGTCCCAGCGCTGGGGTGTCACTGCGACAGGAACGTGTGTCTCCTCCCCCCGCAGTCCGTGGGCTCCGTCTATAGTGGCCTGATGCAGGGAGTGGGGGCCGCTGAGAAGGTGTTCGAGTTCATTGACCGGCAGCCAACCATGGTGCATGATGGGAACTTGGCCCCTGACCGCCTGGAGGGCCGGGTGGACTTTGAGAACGTGACTTTCACCTACCGCACTCGGCCCCACACCCAAGTTCTGCAGGTGAGAGGGGTGCCCGAGGCCCGCCCACATCATCCCTTCCCTCATCCTGTCTCTCGCCTGCGTGCCAGGCCTCATAGTATAGCCAGGGCCGTGTAAGACAGAGTCCTGGTCCTCGTGGAGTTCGGGCTGGAGTCAGGGAAGGCAGATCATTAACAGAACGTTCCAGATAATAAGTGCCAGCAAGGCAGTAAGTCGGTGGTGTGATAGGGGTAGCTCACAGGTAGCACTCACAGGGATGGCGTTAACAGTCCAGGAGGGCTTCTCAGAGGAGAGGACATTGGAGATGGTCCTGAACAAGGGGAGGAGGCACCCAGGCTGTGGAAGTGAGCATCAAGATCCTGCCAAATCCTAGAAAAGAGAATATTCAGGGGCTGGCAGTGCCCAACCGTGGCAAAGGAGCATGGGTGGGGTGGGAAGGGCGCCCGCCTGTGTTCAAGGTCAGGGCATCTGAGCCAGTGGCTCCACATGGTGTCCGCCTGTTCCTTGCAGAATGTCTCCTTCAGCCTGTCCCCAGGAAAGGTGACCGCACTCGTGGGGCCCTCGGGCAGTGGGAAGAGTTCCTGCGTCAACATCCTAGAGAACTTCTACCCGCTGGAGGGGGGCTGCGTGCTGCTGGACGGAAAGCCCATCAGCGCCTATGACCACAAGTACCTGCACCGCGTGGTACGTGAATGGCCCTTTGTTGTCCTGTGCGCTTTGTCCAACCTTCACCCTGAGAGCAGTCACACAGGTGCGGAGAAGTGACAGAGGTAAACACAAGCTCGGAGAGCTTCACCTGCGCACCAGCGCCCGGGTCACGAAACAGAACATTCCAAGACTCTCCCACCCCATGTGTCCCTTCTCTTTCCCCCAGAGGCCGCATCTCCCTGACTTTATGATCTTCTCCTTCTTTTCTTCAGTTTTACCATTGCTCTGTGCCTCCCCGAACAACAGAGCTGTGTTTTGCCTAGTCTTGACCTTCATCTGGCTGGGATCGTAGAACATGTGTTCAGCTGGGTCTTGCTTCTTCCGCTCAGCGTTATTTGTGAGACATCCAGGTTGAGGCTGTGGTTGTCGTTCATTCGTTTTCATTGCTGGGTGATAATCTACGGTGTCAACATGTCACCATCTAGTTGGGCATTCTGCTCTTGATGGGGACGTGGATTGTTTCCTGTTTTTACTGTTACCAATACTGATGTAGACAATTTTGTCCACATTTTCTAGTGCGCACGGGTACGTATGTTCTCCCAGAGTGCATGCATATCCCTGACTCTAGTAGCTACTGTCTCTAGGGTGTTCATACCACTTTACATTCCCACTAGCAGTGGATGAGAGTTCCAGTGGCTCTGCATTTAAGTCATCTCTAGTATGTAAAGGAGGCTTACTCATGACAATACAGTTTTTGGTAATGATTTCAGAAAGAGATCCTCAACTCCTGATCCTGTGCTAGTCTAAGAACAGGGATGCCCTGGATGGTTGTTCAGGTTGTACACAATACAAGAAAAACCAACTACCAAGAAGGCACCATTTTCATCATCAACATACATTAAATTATAGGAGAGCCTGAGGACTGGCACAGAGATTCCAGAACTCCTAACCAAGTTCTAGATGGTGGCAGGGGCCACACATTGTGATATCTGCCTACCCACCTGCATATAACTGGGTATAAATGGCTGAGCAGTGGTCCCAGGTATGTGGACAAGGCTGCTACCTATCAGAGTCCTGGAAGTGGCCCTCAGGCAGAGCTATTCAGGCTTTGTACTAGCTAATACGCTCAGACATGTAATATTCTTAGATAGTTAATATTGTCAGTGCCGATCTTTTTGCCAGCTGGTGAGGACATACATAGAGGTACTTCACGGCGGTCTTTTGCATTTTCCTGATGACCAGACATACCAAGTTCTTTAACATATGGTTTACTACTTAGATTTCCTCTTTTGTGAATACCTGCTCTTTAGTTCAAATTAAAAATTTTAATTTTCATAAGCCCCAAAGAGTAAAATATAACAATCTAACGACATTCCCATATATTCAGAGAATTTTGTAATTAAGACATGAGAGTTCCCCTCCACCTCACCTTTTAAATTCCACTCCATGGAGGTTAACTGCTGTTACCATCCCAACCAGTTTCCTATCTTTATATAAACATATTGGTAAGTAAAGGCCCGTATATAAGTTTTTTACTTTTTTGTTTTTTTAAAGAGAGATAGATAGGCAGAGGGAGAGAGAGGGGGAGGGGATCCCAAGCAGGCTCCCACACCCAGCACAGAGCCTGAAGCAGGGCTCGATCCCACGACCCTGAGATCATAACCTGAGTTGAGTGGGATGCTCAACTGACTGAGCCACCCAGGCACCCCTTCATATATCATTTTTTTAAACAAAAACAGAATCATGATGTGTGTGTGTGTGTGTGTGTGTATGTGTGTGTTATTTGATTTAATGGATACACTGTGATTATGAGCCAATCTCCAATTTATGAAACTGATTTTTCTTTCTACTTACACTGTTGCAGTGATATCCTCCATACTCTCAATTTTGTAGGCTACATTCCTAAAACTGGAATCACGGGACAAGTTCTTTAAATTATTCTCTCTGAAGGAAGGAGACACCAGGGAGGCCTTTATGGCCTGGGGGCTGCTATGGCCTCTTGTCTCCTGGCATGGACAGACTCACATTCCACATTCTCTTTCTCTCCCCTCCCTGGCTCTCCCCACCCCACCCAAGACAGGGGCAGACAGCGAGCTCTCTTCGAGGTCAGGGAACTTGGCTCAGGCCAGAGCAGCCCGCTTAACAGGCCCCAGATTTTTGGTCGGGGAAAGCCGAGGGCTTATGCAGAAAGTGGACTCTCTTGTTTTTGAAGGAAAGAGGCAGCTGATGCTAACAGCTGGGCTCCGGCTCTGCTCAGATTTCAGACCCAAGACCCCTGGCGTCAGGCAGGCCTGGCGCTGGCGAGGTTCCCGGTGACAGCTGGATGGATGCGTGCCTGGCCTGTCATGCCCCATCCTTTCTCCTGCACAGATCTCCCTCGTGAGCCAGGAGCCGGTGCTGTTCGCCCGCTCCATCACAGACAACATCTCCTACGGCCTGCCCACCGTGCCCTTCGAGATGGTAGTGGAGGCCGCACAGAAGGCAAATGCCCACGGCTTCATCATGGAGCTCCAGGATGGCTACAACACAGGTACACAGCCCAGGAGCGTCACCTCCACCCTGCCTGCTGAAGGTCCCACGCTCCGGGATGCAACCCTTCGGGTGAAGCATTGCTCTCGGCCAGCTGCTTTTTATTTCATGTGAAATTCACTCGACATTTAATACCTTTACAGTACCATGCAACCAACCACCTCTATTTATTTTTAAACATTATTATTATCTATGACTTATTTTTTAGAAAGAGAGAGAGCAGGAGCATGGGGGGAGGGGCGTAGGGAGAGGGAGAAGCAGGCTCGCCCTGAGCGGGGAGCTGAGCAGGGAGCCCGATGCGGGACTTGATCCCAGGACCCTGGAATCATGATCTGAGCTGAAGGTGGATGCTTAACTGACTGAGCCACCCAGGTGCCCCAAAACATTATGATTTTCAAATAATACATGTATCAGATTAATTATAGTTGCTTAATTTTGTATTAAGTCAATATTTTAATACAATAAATTTAACAGTGTATGATTTATATCATATATTTTGTTATACTTAATATACTTTAAAATTTTAACTCTAGGGGCACCTGGGTGGCTCAGTGGGTTAAAACCTCTGCCTTCAGCTCAGGTCATGATCCCAGGGTCCTGGGATCGAGCCCCGAATCGGGCTCTCTGCTAAGCAGGGAACCTGCTTCCCCGTCTCTCTCCATCTACCCCTCTGCCTACTTGTGATCTCTCTCTGTCAAATGAATAAATAAGTTCTTTAAAAAATAAATAAAATAAAAATTTAACTCTTGAGAAGGGGCTATTCACATGGTTCAAAACTAAAAATGTATATGAAATGATAGACAATGAAGGGTTTTACTCCATCCCTTTCTCTGACCCTGTTTCTTCCTGGCCCACCCAAACGTCTTTTGTTACCTTCCTACATGTTATTTGGGAGCTTCTTCATGCAAATGTGAATGAACATATATATATATATATATTTTTTAAAGATTTCTTATTTATTTGACAGACAGAGATTACAAGTAGGCAGAGGTGGGAGGGGAGCAGGCTCCCTGATGAGCAGAGAGCCCAATGTGGGGCTTGATCCCAGGACCCTGAGATCATGACCTGACCCAAAGGCAGAGGCTTAACCCACTGAGCCACCCAGGCGCCCCAGTGAATGTATATTTTTATTTCCTCCTAACCTTTTTTTTTTTTTTAAAGATTTTATTTATTTGACAGACAGAGATCACAAGGAGGCAGAGAGGCAGGCACAGAGAGAGGAGGAAGCAGGCTCCCCGCCGAGCAGAGAGCCCGATGCGGGGCTTGATCCCAGGACCCTGAGACCATGACCTGAGCCGAAGGCAGAGGCTTTAACCCACTGAGCCGCCCAGGCGCTCCTCCTCCTAACCTTTTAAAGAAAAAAAAAAAAAACACAAAAAAAACAGCACTTAATATTCTGCACCTGGCTTTTTTTTTTTTTTTTTAACTTAACATGGCATCTTAGTGACGTTCCATGTCGTCACTTAGACCTCCCTTGCTCCATTTTTAAGCAGTGGCATAGTATTCCACGGTATCGGGCTTTATGATAATTAGTTTAAAAAATTCATTCAGTTTCCTGCTGATGGATATTCAAGTAGATCTTTTGTTTTGATTTGCAGTGTTAGTCCTGTGAGTCGTGCGTAACACGAGCCTTGGCCACCGTGCTTGGGAAAGTCACTTGTAGGGACAATCCACAGAGGTGGGGATGCGGGTGCCAGGGTCATGCACTTGAACTTGTGATCCGTAGACTTGCACGGTGCAGAGTGATAGACACAGGGGTGTATGCACTGTGGCCGGAGGGATCACCCCGACTGTGCTTGCCCCAGAAGGATAGGGGAGTGCCTGTCTCCCCACAGCGACACCAGGACAGCGTATTATCAGATATCGGGATGTTTTCCAGATTAATAGGGAAAAATTGGTATCTTAGTACCAATCGAATGTAGTCATGATTTGCATGAACAGGGAGGGAGAGCGTCCTTCCGTGAGTTTGGGAGCAGTTGGTTGTCCCAGCCGGGGACAACCCAGCCCTCTGGACCACGCCTTTTCCTGGAGAGCACAGCTCCTGCGGCAGCAAGAAAAGGAAGAGGAGAGGGTCCTCTCTGTCTTCCCTAGGGCTGCCCTGGCCTCACCCTCTGCTCATTTGCCCTTGTCCCTTTGTCACGCAGAGACTGGGGAGAAGGGCGCCCAGCTGTCTGGTGGCCAGAAGCAGCGGGTGGCCATGGCTCGGGCTCTGGTGCGGAACCCACCTGTCCTCATCTTGGACGAAGCCACCAGCGCTCTGGATGCGGAGAGCGAGTACCTGGTGAGTGGAGGGGTGGCGGGGTGATGCCAGAGAAAAGAGCGGGCGCCACGAAGGGCTTGGAGATGCCCTGGGGGCTCTCCCAGGCTGTCAGCTTCCTGGACTGGGGTGTTCAGGGCTGAAGGTCCATCCAGCTGGCTCTTGGCAGAGCTCAAAATACATGACACGGGTTTGGAGTCGAGGCCCTGCCCTCAGCTCATCATGAGAGCCCGTGTCTTCCACTCCCTGAGCCTCCTTTCCATTGGTAAAGAGCGTCCAACTGTGTATCTGTCAGTGACCAGGTGGGTGCCGCGGCCCCTCCCTGGTCGGATCTTGGATTACACAGGCACTCACTGAGCTCTGGGCCACCAGGCACCGTCCCAGCCGCCAAGGTTGCCATGACGGGCTGACCAGACAGACAGAGGACTGCCCCTGCAGCTTTTCCAGTCCTGGGGGAGACGAGCATGAGTTCAACCTGTGGCCCATGGCACACAGAAAACAAAACCATCTGAGAGAGAAATTGAGACAGGTCACCCTGTCAGAGAGGGACTCAGCCAGACATTGATGCTGGAAAAAAACAGATTTTCTTCAGTAGCGACTGACAGGAAGGGAAAGAGCAGGGCTCCATTCTGATTTGTGCAGAGGGGACAGCGGTGACAGGCGTTGAAGGAGAATGAAGGCATAGGGAGCAGGCTCGAGGGACAGCGGGGAGTTGGTGAGTGTGGATGTGATTAGGCAGATGAGTGTGGGCTGGAATTCTGTCCTCCCATAGAGACTGGGAGACCCAGGCCTGTCCTTCCTGATGATTACATTTCAAAGGAATGGCCTTTAGGTCCTTGAGAAAGACACTCCTGACTGTAGGAAATTCATATATAAGTATCGAAGGGACAGAGAAAGGATTTGCAATTAGAAGCCCTTTTTATTAAACACTTTAAGAAAGGGAGGTCAGGGCCTACTGTCGGGTGTTGGCTGGAACAGTCCATTCCCCAGCAGCACTGAGCATTTGGGGGGCTGGGCCATCCCCGAGACACGACCTTACACTCCCAAAGCCCTGGTGGAGTGTGACCATCTCCCCAATGCACGTGGGGTCTTCAGGTGCCATTTGAGCTGAGACCCAGGAGAAGAGCCAGCTGAGCATCCAAGAAGGAAAAGAGCAGCATGTGCAAAGGCCCAGAGCAAGTTCACAGGCAAGCCCAAAGGTCAGCATGTCAGGCTGGTGGGACTCTGACAAGGTAAGGTGAGGACAGAGTCATAGGGAGACACCGGCTCCTTGGGCCCTAGTCATAGAGTTTGGAATTTTTTTTTTTTTTTTTTTTGAAGAAAAGTTTCAGGTTTAAAGAAAATTCAGCAAAAAGTGCAGAGAGTTCCCCTATATCTCCTTTTCACCCCACAGACCGTTTCTCCTGTGATCAGCATCTTGTCACGGTGCATTTGTTTCAGTCGATGAGCGGGTTTTAATGCATTGTTGCTAACTCAGGTCCCTGGTTTACGTCAGGGGTCCCTCTTGGTGTTGCGAAGTCTTGTCTGCGACAAGTGCAGAATGGCAGGCAGGGGCTGGATTTTATTCTTGTTTGGGACAAGAAGCTGTTGGGGGGCTCGGAGCAGGAATTCAGCAAGAACCAATCGAAATGTTAAATCCACGAGGCTGAGGAAGGCTTGGGTAAAGGACGGGGACGGCAGGTTGCAGGCATCCGGGCAAGAAGTAACAGGGGTAGCAGTGGGAGGATGGAAAGAGGCAGATGAACTGGGGAGAGATGCCCCCAGAAGGATTCCACCAGGCCTTGGATTTGGCCAAGGATGGGGAATTGAGGGCCGCGGTCTCGTGGGCTTCAGCTTTGAGGCTGATGGTGAGACCATGAGCCAAGGTGAAGGTTGCAAGGAGCAGGAAGAGCAGAGAGGCGACCAGGTTAGGGTTCAGCTGTCGCTCGCCAGGCGCCTCCCCTGCGCCGGGCCCTGAACTCCTTCTCCTGTGCCCCAAACCCCAGGGAGCCAGTGGGGTGGGGGAGCGAGCCCTGGCTTCCCTAAGGAGGCACTGAAGCTCAGCTACAGGGTGGGTGTGGGAGCCGAGCAGCTCAGGGCGTGGTGGGGGGCGGGTGAGGCAGCGCCCCCTCGAGCCGGCCCCCTCCGTCTCCCCAGATCCAGCAGGCCATCCACGGCAACCTGCAGAAGCACACCGTGCTCATCATCGCGCACCGCCTGAGCACGGTGGAGCGCGCGCACCTCATCGTGGTGCTGGACAAGGGCCGCGTGGTGCAGCAGGGCACGCACCAGCAGCTGCTGGCCCAGGGCGGCCTTTACGCCAAGCTGGTGCAGCGGCAGATGCTGGGGCTCGAGCCCGCCGCGGACTACTCAGCTGGCCACAAGGAGCCGCAGGGCGGCAGCGGCCACAAGGCCTGACTGCGGGCCCCGCCTCGCACGGTGGGGCTGAGGCCCCGGCGCCTGCCGGGCAAATGTACCCATGGGGGACCCCCCAGCCCCGCTGCCCTCTGAGCCCAGGCCCACCGTGCCAGGGGGGCAGCCTGCCATGTCCCGCGTGTCACTGCTTCCTGCATCGCGCCCCCCCTTCCCACTCCATCCACCTGCCCCCACCCCCACCCCTCCCTTCCCCGCTGCCATGAGCCGCTGCCTCCAGTCTGGGCAGCAGAGACCCCGCTGGTCTCTCCATCCGGTCTCCCAGGGCTTCTAAGAGAAGGTAGAGCTACCTTTTTAAACCAAGATCTCACTTGAAGAACCAAGGTTTTTAACTGCTTGGTTCGATGGGCCCCAGTCAACTCCCAGATTTCAAAAACTTTTTTTTTTTTTTTAATGGGGAGTAATGATGGGCAAGGTCACTGAGATATTCTAGAAACTTCTGAGCCAGGAGTGAACGATCCTTCCTAATAGCCTGGGGGATACCGGGGGAGAATTAGGCCTCTGCCCTCTGCCCCTCGAGAGAAGGGGCTTTCCTGTCCCTGAAGGGGGACACGGAGGAAGGGACTTCCTCTCTCACTCTTTGCAGCTTCGTGAGTCAGGCCAAGGGTCGGCGGGAAGAGTGGGAAGGGCCTGTCTGCCCGTGGCCCTTGCCGTCCTGCCAAATCTAAGCCAGTCTCACTGTGAACCACTACTAACCTTGACTGGGGGAGTGAGGGGCTGGCCAGGCCTGGCAGAGCCTCAGGGTGGCCCCAGCCCCACACCCAGCGTGAGCCCCTCAGGCCCACCACATCCCTTGCTCCCATCCCCCCCCCCAGCCGGCAGCCCCCTCCCACACGTGCACCCCTGCTCCGCTCCTCGCTCTGCTCTTGGGAGGCCCTTCAGTGCCGGATGTCTGAGAGATGAGTTCTCTTCCCTGTCTGGTGGACAGAATGGCAGCAAAGCTCAGGCTCTGGTTTTGTGGGGTGGGGAGGGGGGTGGGTGTTTGCAAGATGTTGGAAGATCCCGGTCAATAAAGTGTACTACCTCTGACCCCTGACCTCTGACCTCTTCCTGGGCCCTCTGCCCCGTCACCTGGTTAGGTTTTTCCATCAGACATAGCCTGAGAGATTTGGGTAAAGGGCTTCCCCCACAGGGTCTGGGAGCCCCCCTTCTGTGCTCTTCATGTCCCCAGGAACTCTAGCACCGACGAATTTATTCGTGTCTGTCTCCACGGGGCTTGTGCAAGGTCACGGAGGCCTGTCTCCTTGACATCTGGGGGATTTCTGTGCAAATGCCACCTGCTTTTTTCCATCAGGGACCGGGCCCCCCATGCCCACTCCACCCCACGGAGCCAGGAAGTCTTGTCTAACAGCTCCATCAGAAGGGAGGTGTGACTGGGCACAGGAAAAACCTCTGGGGCGGTTATTCCTGTGGGGCTGTGATGAAGTCCGGGGTCCCGGGAGGGGGCCAGGGGGCAGTGGCTGTTTACCAGTCAGTGGAGAAATATTTCAGTACCCTAACTACTGGTGCAGCCACGTACCCATTTTCCTGCCCAGTAAGCTGACCCAGACTGCCACCAGCCGAGCCTCCGGCTTCACCTCAGGGGCTTAAGGAAACCGAGTCCCAGGGAGGTTAAGCTGCTTGCTCAGGACCACCAGCTAGTGAGGGCTAGAGCCGGGATTCACACCCAAGAAGCGTGCGTGTGTGTCTTCCCAACCACGAGAAGGCCTGAGAGTGCACCTCTAAGGGCACAGGCTGGGGAGACTTGACTGACCCTGCGGCAGAGGCTGTACGGATCCAACGTCGGACCTGAGTTCTCAAACAGAAGTGCTTCCAGGAGCCAGGTAAGTACTGCAAGTGTGTACACTCGTCCAGGTGAAGAGAAAGGAGACAACCCTCTTGGTTTCTGTTCCGCTTTTCCACTTGCGGGATGGCGCAGAGAAATCTTTCCCTTCCATTAGAAAGAGAACACGGTGCCAGCCTGGGAATGAATGGTGACCGAGGCCTCAGACTTGTGCGGCGGTGTTGGGGGGGGTGGAGGGGGCTGGGTTTCTGCTGTAGTCCCTTGAGGCCACGCAGGAAGGTGGCCTTGAGTCAGCAAATCCGCAGAGATTTTCGGAGAAGCTGGAAATTGGAGTTTTAATGTGAGATTGACTGCTTTTTATAGATTGGCTCAAATTAGTTTACAAAACCCAGGGTCAATAAACACAGCTCGGGGCAGTCTGCCGCCTGTGGGTCACCAGTTGGTCACCTCTATCCTCAACATCCTTTTCCTCCAAAGTCTTTGGAGCTTCCCCATCAGGGGGAGTTTTTCCCTGCCAAGGGGCAGGGGTTGGGGGCCCGCAGCCCAACCCCATTCCAGCCCAGGCTCCTCCCTCACCCCCTCCCCACCCCCACCCTCCAACAACCCTAGGCTGGGCTTCCCAGATTCACCGCATGTTCCCATGCCGGTGTCCCTTACAGCTCCCCAGTTCGTAAACCTGAACCCAAAAGCAGACCCTAGGCAAACAAAAGAACCTTTCAGAGACCAAGCTAGCTGCTTTTTAGAAGGCAGATAGGATTTTTAATTATTTTTTAAAGATTTTATTTATTTGACAGACAGAGATCACAAGTAGGCAGAGAGGCAGGCAGAGAGAGAGGAAGGGAAGCAGGCTCCCCACCAAGCAGAGAGCCCGACGTGGGGCTCGATCCCAGGACCCTGAGATCATGACCCGAGCCAAAGGCAGAGGCTTAACCCACTGAGCCACCCAGGCACCCCGAGATATGATTTTTTAAATAAATGTTTTACTTTGGGATAATTTTAGTATTTTTTTAAAGATTTTATTTATATGAGAGAGACCACAAGTGGGTGGAGTAGGGGAAGGGGCAGAAAAAGCAGCAGACTCCCCGCCAAGCAGGGAGCCCAATGTGGGGCTCGATCCCAGAACCCTGAGATCATGACGTGAGCCAAAGGCAGACGCTTAACTGACTGAGCCCCCCGAGGCGTCCCAGGATAATTTTAGTGTTACAGAAAAGTTGCAATGAAACAGAAGCATTTCCTAATATAGCCCTTAGTGAGCTTTCCTCCTGTTCCCATCACGTGTGATCGTGGAGCACTTACCATAACCAAAACAACAACACTGGTCTCTCACTGTCCCCGAAACTCCAGGCTTTTTTTCTATTTCACCAATTTTCCAATAATGTGGGGTTGTTTTGGCTTTTGTTTTGGTTCTAGGATCCAATTCAGGGCACCACACTGCATTTAAATTTTTTTTTTTTTTTTTTTTTTTTTTTTTTTATAAAAAAACATACAGGTTGTAGCAGGTGTCCGCGCTTCCTGCTTCGTGGCTGAATAGGATTCCATTGTGTGGATGGACCACATTTTGTTTATCCCGTGATCCCTTGATAGACTCTTGGGTTGTCTCAACCTTTTGGCTATTATGAATAGCGCTTCTGTGAACATTCATGTCTTTGTGCGGATCTAAGTTTTCATATCTCTTGGGTACACACCCAGGACCGGAATGCTGAGTCTTAACAGTCGCTCTCCGTTCCGCATTTTGAGGACCCACCAAACCGTCCCCACAATGGCTGCCCCATTGTACGTTCCAAAGCATTAGGGTTCCGATTTCTGCACAGCCTCACCAAATGCTTGTTATTTTGTTTTTATTTATTTATAATTTTAAATTACAGTCATCCTGGTGGGTCTGAAGTGGAGAGCCTTGATTTTTAAAGTAGACTTTTTCTCCCTGGTAATTAATTGAGCAAATAGGGCTGCCCTCTTCTGTCCCAGGTCCTGTGGGAGGCGATCTGGGGAAACCATGGCAGCCAAGCCCCCAGGGGAATGAACCATCCTCTGGGGAGATAGACAAGGAAGTAAGTAAGGATGAGACAGGATGGTGACGGGAACGGGACTGTGGGGACCCAGAGCAGGCTTAGTCCTTAATCCTGGTGTAAAGGCCTGAGGGCAGGGGGAGGACAGAGGCAGGGCTGTCTTTGCACAGACTTGCCACCTGCGTTGAAATTTTTGAACAAGGGGCCCCGCATTTTCATTTTGCACCAGGCCCTGCCAATTCTGTAGCTTGTCTTGGGTGGTTGTCCCAGCTGGAGGCAGGGGTCAGGGGAGGTCTCTCCCACAGCTTCATCTTTGGCATCCAGAGGATGGGGCTTTTTTTTTTTTTTTTTTTTTTAAAGACCTGGGTTTTTCTCACCTGTCAAGCCCCTGCTGTGGGTCATCCTCCCCTCTCGCTGCCCCCCCCCCTTCCATGCTGCTCCCTGAAGCTGAATGAGTACATGAGGCAGCAGATGGGTTTTTCCAAATGGCTGGTCTCCGCAGACTCGGATCCAGATTATATCTGTTGGGAGGAGGCTGTCAATCTGATTTGGGGTCGCGGTCACAGCTGACAGCTCCAGATAGAGAACCCAGCACCTTGAGATGCTCTCTGTCGCTGCAGAGCTGGAGAGGATGCTCAAGGTGGGCTCTCCGGGGTCAAGGAGCCTCACCTGGGTAGTAGGAACGACGGTCCCTCGACAGTATGTTCCGTCTGTTGCCCAATGTCTGTGCCAGAGCTCTGACCCCACTTCAGGAAGCTTTCATAACTAACGCGCTCAGAGATCCACCTGTCCTCCTTTTCTTTCTTTCTCTCTCTCTCTCTCTCTTTTTTTTTTTTAAGGTTTATGGGCGGTCCTGTCTGGCTCCGTCAGTAGAGCATGTGCCTCTCGATCTCAGGGTCCTGAGTTCAAGCCCCGTGACATAGGGCTTGCTTTACAAAGAATAATAATAATAGTGATAATAATAAACTTTTTTTTTTAAATGGAGATTTTGTTTATTTGCGAGACAGAAATCACGAGCAGGGTGGAAGGGACGATGGAGGGTGAGGGGAGAGGCAGAGGGAGAGAGAGAAGTAGACTTCCCGCTAAACAGGGACCCAGACACAACATAGGGCTCCATCCCAGGACCCCGAAATCATGACCTGAGCCCAAGGCAGATGCTTAACCCACTGAGCCACCCAGGCGCCCCCTGATTATTT